AAAAGATTACTTTATTTTACTTGAAAATCAAAGTTAAAGGGAGAGGGGATCTTCCACCTACTGATTCACTCCCCAAATGACTGCGATGGCTATAGCTAAGTTAATCTGCAGCCAGGAGTTTCTGTTGGGTTTCCTACATGGGTACACAGTCTCAAGGCCCTGGAGCATCTTCTGCTGCCTTCACAGGCCATAAGCAGAGCTGGATCAGAAGTGCAGCAGCCAGGACTTGAACGGGCACCCATTTGGGATGTCACAGGTAGAGGATTAGCTTGCTATGCCACTGTGCCAACCCCTCCTTTCATATATTTATGCATGTGATATATCTGCAGTGGCAGGAAGCTGGAGTCGGGAGTCAGTTCTGGAAATTGAATCCAGGTTCTTCTATGTGGAACGCAGATAGATGAACCCCAGGGCTCTGTGCCTACTGCTCACTGTCCTTTCAGTCAAAGAGTTCTTGTCCATTTTGCGTCTCTGCATTGCAGGCACTTTTCTGATGTCAGCACTCACACGGAATGCTGACATGGCGGATGTGGCCTTACCTCTTAGGCCAGCCGCTGCAAAAGCCATTTTTAGCTAGACACAGGTTCTTCCAAAAGAACAAGGAGAAAAGCGGATTCTTCCAACAGTGCAGCTGGACTGTCCTAACTCCCTGTGTCTGATAACAGAAACCCGAGGCCCCCGGAGACGTCCAACCAGAGTTTGAAGAGCGCCTGTGAGAGGTTTGCCGTTGCCCTCTCCCTCCGCTCCCAAAGACTGCTCAGCTCCAGGTGGGGGACACTAACGCACATGCAGATTCATCAGATGTGGTCTGAGTGCCTCTTTGGAGGATCCTCTGCTGCCAACGTGCCAGCTCCTAGGCTGCCCGGCTCACTGGAGTTACTCCTTGTAGCTGGCACAGTCACCAGCTTCCAAATGTTGTAGTTAGGAAGACCATTGGTGAACAGCCCCTGGGGCCCTCACTTCAGCTTTTAGGGATCCAAAGCAAAAAGAAAGTCCTTTGAAACTGGGCAGAGGCTTCACCCTGGTCCTTTAAGGAGATTTGAGTATCAACCTTACGGTATTTATCTAAGATCTCTTTTGTACCTGGAATCCTCACTCCTGCTTTTTTTTAGTCTTATGACTTGCGCTGTTTGCCGTTACCACCTCTTTCCATCTTGTGCAACTGCTTCGGACTCTCCTCTCACCTGATTTGCTTTCCATGTTCCATGATAGCAGGTGGAAGGTATTGCTGTGCCACCTTCCGTCCCAGAGGGCTTCACCAAGCGCTCTAGTAGGCCCTCTTCCAAAGGTGGCGATGCATAGCCTGTGGCTTTTTCTTTCTTTCTTTCTTTCTCTTTTTTTTTAAGATTTGTTTTATTTTTGTTGGAAAGGCTGACTTACAGAGAGAAGGAGTGAGACAAAGATACTCTAGCCGTTAGTTCACTGCCCAAATGGCTGCAAGGGCCAAAGCTGAGCCAATTCAAAGCCAGGAGCCAGGATTTTCTTCTTTGTGGTCTCCCAAGTGGGTGCAGGGTCCTAAGGACTTGAGCCATCCTCCACTGCTTTCCCAGGCCACAGGCAGGGAGCTGGATGGGAAGTGGAGCACTGGGACACAAGCTGGTGCTGTTAGGAAATGCTCACACTTGCAGATGAAGGATTTGCCTGTTGAGCCACCGTGTCAGCCCCTGTGGCGTTATTTTAAGTGACATTAGCTACAGAATGACCAGCAAGGGAGTCAGAACCTTGCAGTTCACCCTAGTCTTGACTACTCGCATGTCCTTCCCATCCTCCTTGGCCAGGTCATTGGAGACACGGCTGGACAGAGGGGACTTGGGACATCTCTCTGGCCAGCGGTCGGTCTAGCTGTCATTTTTTAGTGAGCCTTTCCCATCATGCCATCTTTGACAGTGATCGGACATATGGGAGACACAGAACATGTGTCCCTTCTCTGTGGTTTTCCTCCCACACAAGCAAAGCTACCAAGAGGCTCCAGAAACTCCGTAGGCTAGACTTGCATTGGACTACTTAGTGTGGGTGGGGCTGGTTCCGCCCAGGCTGAGTGATTCTACAAAACATCACTTAGAACAGCAAAACCACACCAGGCTCCTTCTGAGCCACAGGCCCCTGGGCGGCTGCCTGCTTCCGTGGTCTCATCTCCCCTCGGCTCTGTCTGCCTTAAACACACGGCTAACCCAGAGTGCTTCTACATATCCTGGCTCATTTCCCTCCGCCTGGGACATTCTCTCCGGGGCTTAGACAGCCCTGATCCTCATTTGGCTCAGGTCAGGTGCTTCATCTCTCTACAGGTCTTTCCTGAGCACCCTAATTAAATAGCAGCCACTTTCATTTTCTGTTCCTTAATTGGTCCACAGAGTGCTCGACCCATCTGAGGCTGCCCCGGTACACAGTCGTCTCTCATCTCCTTGTCAGCATGCCAGCTCCGTGAGGGCCGCAGCGTTGGTTTTCTTGTTGCTTCTCCACCTAGGAATGTGTGATGATCTTGTCCAGAAAGTGCTTTTTAATCTCCTCTGCAAAGCATTGTGAAAGACAAGGCCCGGCAGTTTTCTCGGGGATTCACATGTGCAGATCTCTTAGCTCAGCTGGCTGATCTGCGTGTAGCTCTTTAAGGAATTATCTCAGTTGTATCATATAAGACCACCTGGACACTGTGGGATTGTTAACGTGTTCTGAAAAGGGCCAGTGCCTGACATCTCCCTGACCGTGACAATCAGGCTGTTTGTTCTCAGGCGGTCCATGGCCTCTGCTAAGCCATTAGAGATGCTTCTCACCCCATCAGCCGTTCAGAAAAAGCCGTTCCACCTTATCGCACCCCCTAAGAGCCACTATCTGTCACTGCTCTTTCTGGTACCCCCGCCCCATCCAAGCAAGCAATGATGAAACAAGTACAGCATCGGGTGAGATACGTATGCCCGTCTCTTAGGTCCCATGAGTGGAAATTTCCATGTCCATATTTTAAATTCCTTTATTTGAAAGGTAGAATAAAGGAAACACATGTTTTCCATCTATTGGGTCAATCGGCTGCAAGCAGCCAGAGCGGGGCCAGACCAAAGGCAGGAGTCGGGAGCTTCTGGATCTCCCATGTGGGTGGTAGGGATTCAGGCACTTGGGCCATCCTCTGCTGTTTGCTCGGGTGCATTAGCAGGGAGCTGGGGTCGAAGTGGAGCAGCTGCCACACAAACTGGTGCCCATATGAGCTGCCAGCATCCCAAGTGGCAGGATTATACATTATGCCACATTGCTGGCCTCTCAGCATCTTGAATTCTCTTAAAGATGGGGTTTATGGGAAAGGAACAGCAAGAGATTTGGCTCTTTTTTTTTTTTTTAAAGATTGATTTATTTTTATTGGAAAGGCAGATTTATGAGAGCAGAGACAGAAAGGTCTTCCGTTTGCTGGTTCACTCCCCACATGGCCACAGCAGCTGGAGCTGAATCTGTAAACAGGGAACTGGACGGGAAGTGGAGCAGCCAGGAAACACATCGGCGCCTATACGGACGCCGGGGCTTGAAGGTGGCGGGTTAGTCAGTTGAGCTATCGTGCCAGCCCTGAGGGCTGATTCTAATTAAGGGATAATATCTATTCACTCTAGGTACAAAGCTAGGGATGAATAAATAAGACAGGCACTTTCCTTGATGACAAGGAGTTAATAGTTCAAGGGGTCTTATGGGACTAAGAGTCACGCTATAAAATGTTTTCCATTATTATCCCATCAAGAAACACTTATTAGCTACATACTGTATGTCACATTACATGTTTAGGGAATAAAATCTTGACCCAGACCAGGCACAGCTCCGGTCTAGTGAGGAAGAGTGTTAAGTGGCACACACGATGCCATGAAAACCTACACTCAGGGAACGTGGGCTTTTTAATGGGTTGAGGAGATTCAATCAAATTAAGAGATTCTGAATTAAGTACCACTTAAACTGAGATTTGAAAGGGGAGGAGCAATTAGCTAGCCAATGAGAGGAAGGAGGAACCTTCTGGATCACTGAAAAAGCAGGTTTTGTTGCAAAGGGCAACAAGAGGTCTTTGGACCAAGAGGAGTTGGAGGATGTTAGCTGAGCTGGAGGGGAAGGCACGGGCAGACGGACAGGGCCTTGTATGCAGTCCCAGATCCCACTGCCTGCTTTTCCATTTGGTCCCCAGGTAGGGTCATGCTGAGACGGTTCAGCAAGCAGGTGATCCCACTAAAACCAAGGCCTGGACTCACCACCCCGGGGCACACGGATGGAAGCAGAATTCGCATCTCCAGAGTGGCACGTGGCTGTGCCGGAGTCCCTGAAGTTAAGATTTAAATTCTCCACCCGCTATCTCTCGATTTTTTGGCTTTCATGTGGGAATGAGACAGTATTTCTTTTTGCAGGGTTCTTGCGAGATTTAAATGAGAAAATGTGTCCTAGCGCTTACTGTTACGCTTGGCCAGTAAGAGATACTGGATCACCAATAGTTAACCACTCCTGTCTCCGTTTGGCTTGATAAAGTTATCTCACAAGGTTATTAAGATCTGATTTCGTTCATGTGGAAGCAATAGGCTGAGGCTCTGGGCCAGGGCTCTAGTTTTTCAGAGCCCGTTCTGCTGGCAGTCAAGACAATTAGGTATGCCGGCCTCTCCATCCGCTTGATCGGACCCCGCGAAGAAGCACCTGCACCTGAGTTCCTGGAAAAGCGATTTAGCACTTTTTGCTCTGGGTCACTTTTTGGTTTTGGCTGGTTGACCATATTTCCATGAGGGGGAGGTGCGAGACTCTGTGTGTCAGACCAGCCCTGTGGAGGTGCAGAGGGCAAACCCACCACGCCCAGCCTGGGCTGGCCTTGCTAATAGGCAAGCCCAGAGCAGGCGGGGTAGGTGGTGGTGGTGTTGGTGGTGGTGATGGTGGGAGGGGAGGACGGGCCAATGAGAACAAGTTTGGCCCTTCGCAGTTTCCGTCCGCGCCCTAGGAGGCGCTGAGGCGGCGGCCGGGAGCCGCGGCGGGCTGGAGGCGGTTGGCGGCGGCTGGTGGCCATGGAGCGGGGCTCGGAGTCGGCGGCCGTGAGGCGGCACCGCGTCGGAGGGGAGCGCCGGGAGGGCCCGGAGCGGCCGGCGGAGGCGGCGTGCGGCGGCGCGAGGCCGCGGAAGGGGAGCCCGGGCGGCGGCGGTGGCGGCGGCGGCGGTGGCGGCGCCCGTGGCGCGGGGCTGTCCGAGGCGCGCGCTGCGCTCGGGCTGGCGCTCTACCTGCTGGTGCTGCGGGCGCTCGTGCAGCTGTCGCTGCGGCAGCTCGTGCTGCGCGGGGCCGGAGGTGGCGGCGCGGAGTTCGACGCGAGCCAAGCCAGGTACGCTGCGCTCCGAGCGGCTGCGGGGCCCACCCGGCACGGGCTCCGGCATCCACCTGTGTGTGCGCCGCGGGGTCGGCGGGGGAGCCGCAGCACGTGCGGTGGCGTGGGGGTGCGGGGACGGGGTGCAGGGGGAGCTGCCCACACGGCAGGTGTTGTGGCTACGTGCCCAGTCACCTGGGTCACCCTCACTGGGACCTTCCCTCCCTCCCCCGACTCCCACCTCGAACGCCCCCCCCACCGCACCCCACCCCAGCAGTTTGCGGGGCAGCTCGTACTTTTTGGTGCGCGCGGGCCTCCTCTTGGCTTCCCCAAGGACAGGGAGACTTAGGTTAGCGCAGGGTCGGCGGCTGCAGTAGCGCTTCCCGAAAGTGCGCTCCAAGGCAGACGGCCTCTTGATAGCTTTGCACGCAATTCCAGAAAGTCCTCTGTTCCCCCCGGGATAGCGTCAGACCTGAGTTTTTAAAGTCTTTTTAGCTGTGCCAGACAGGGCAAGCTTTATACCTCATCTATGTCCAAGCTAGCAGAAAAATGGGCTCTACAGCGTGTGTGTGTGTGTGTGTGTGTGTGTGTGAGCGCTTAACTTTTTTTTTTTGAAGGCAAAGAACGGAAAGTTTATTTTCTCAAGGGCTTTTGCAACACACCCTGGCCATCCTCCCGTCTCCCAGCTTCCAACGCAATGGCAAAAACCAAAACCCAAACCAAAAGCCCCTACCCAAAAAGCGGCGCCATGGGGTCTTCTGTTTGTTTTCCCTGGCGGTAGAATTGGTCATGTCTTGAATGGAAGTTACTAGGCTCCCTGTGCCTGCTCGAGGGCTGAGTCCGATCCTCACCATCAAAAGCTTTTGTTTGACCTCTTGTTTGTGGTTCCTGCTGCCTTGAGCCCTTAACTCAGAATCGGCTGCGCTCAGGAATGTAGCCCAGCGACCTGGATCTCCAGTATGCTTGCAGCATCACATCCTTTGAATACGACCCCTGGTGTTTATGTTGATTTTAAGTTTTGTTTTTATGGGAAAGACAGATTCAGAGACTGAAAGGAAGAGAGAGCTCTTCCATCCACTTGATTTCCTCCCCAGATTGTCACAGTGACAGGAGTCTCCTCCTCCTATACGGGTGCAGGGTCCCAAGGCTTTGGGTCATCCTCCACTGCTTTCCCAGGGCCACAAGCAGGAAGCTGGATGGGAAGTGAAGCACCTGCAGGTGGAGGATTAGCCATGCCCCTGACTTATTTGTTTGTTTTTGAGATTTATTTTTGTTTGAAAATGTAGAATGAGTTCGAGAGAAAGATCTTCTGTCCACTGGTTTTCTCCCCAAATGGTTGTAGCAGCTGTTCCCAAGCCAGGACACACTTTTTGGTCCCCTGTGGAATTGGGCCATCCTCTGTTGCTTTCCTAGGCTGTAAGCAAGTAACTGGATGGGAGATGGAGCAGCTGGGACTTGAACCCACATGGAACGCTGGCACCTCAGGCAGAAACTTAACTTGATATGCCACAGCACTGATGCCTATGTTGGTTTGTTAAGATTGGGAGAAACAGGATTTTATGAGTGGAAAGAGCTCTTAATGAGATGAAGGACAGTTGGGCCTGGCAAGAGGGCTCAGTGGCTAACTCCTTGCCTTGCATCGCCAGGATCCCAGTGGGTGCTGGTTTTTGTCCCAGCTGCTCCGCATCCCTTCCAGCTCCCTGCTGTGGTCTGGGAAAGCAGAAGATGGCCCAAAGCATTGGGACCCTGCACTTGCATGGGAGACCTGGAAGAAGCGCCTGGCTTTGGATTGGCTTGGCTCCAACGCCGATGGGGCCACTTGGGCAGTGAACCAGCGGATGCAAAAGCCTTAGTCTGTCTCATTCTTTCTGTGGATCGCCTCTTCAGTAGACATCTATTAAAAAAGAGAAGGAAGGTAGAATAAAATGGTTAAAGGCAGTCTTTTTTTGAAATGTTTGTGTGTTTGAAAGACACAGACAGATGAGAGAATGAACTAACTTCCATCTGCCAGGGCTGGGCCAGGCTGAAGCCACTTCTCCCAGGTGGGTGCAGGGACCCCAGCACTTGAGCCATCTTGCCCTGCTTTCCCTGATGGGTTGGCAGGGGTCTGCATTGGAAGTAGAACACCTGGGACTCGAACCAGCACCGTACGGGGAGCCCAGTGTTACAGGTGGGAGCTTAACTCCATGTGATGTCACCCACCCCAGGCTTTTTAAAGGAGACGTGGAAGAACTGAGCTCAGTGGAGGGGGAGGAACACAGGTGTGCGTGGTAGTAACGGGGCTCGTGTGCTATACGTTGCTAAGCCGTCATCGCCATCCTTATCTTCCTTGCTCGCAGGAATTACCTTGAACACATAACGGCGATCGGCCCCAGGACCACGGGGAGTCCCGAGAATGAAGTCCAGACGGTTGGCTACCTGCTGGAGCAGATCCGCCGGATCGAAGCTCAGAGCCACAGCCTGCACAGGATCTCGGTGGATGTGCAGCGGCCCACGGGCTCCTTCAGCCTGGACTTCCTGGGAGGCTTCACGAGCTACTATGACAACATCACCAACGTGGTGGTGAAGCTGGAACCCAGAGCCGGCGCCCAGCACGCCGTCCTGGCCAACTGTCATTTTGACTCGGTGGCCAACTCACCAGGTGGGACCTCCTTAGGAATTAGAAGTCGTCATAGCCTAGAGAGTTTATTTTTAAACATTCATATGTGTACATACGCACACGTACATATAAATTTGAAAAACAGAATGGCAGCGGGAGAGAAAGGTATCTTTTTATCTGCTGGTTCACTCCCCACATGCTCACACCAGCTAGGTCTGGACGACACCAATCCAGAAGGCAGAAACCCCACCCAGGTTTCCCCCAGGAGCGGCCGTGACCTGAGCACTTGGACCTGTTCTGTTTGGAAAGGTTTATTGATTTATTGGCTTATTTGCTAGGCAGTGTTACAGAGGGATGGGTTCTATCTGCTGGGTCTTTCCCCAAATGGCTACAACAGTCAGTCCTGGCTGAAGCCAGGAGCCAGCGGCTTCTTCCCGATCTCCCCTGTGGATGCAGGGACCCGAGCACTTGGGCCTTCCTGCTGCTGTCCCATGCCACAAAGCAGGGAGCTGGATGGGGAGTGGAACAGCCGGGATGGTGCCAGTGCCAAGGTAGAGGATTAGCGTGCTATGCCACTGCATTGTTTCCAACCCAGAAGGCTTACGAACATAACCCCAAGCTGCTTGCACAATTGTGGGGACTGGTTACACGGAGAAACCTCCTCCTTAAAAAACAAAACAAAACAAAAAAACGGTAGAGAGAAAGAAAAAGCTCTTGGGTCCCTGGCTCACTCAGATTGGCCGCAGTAGCCGGGTCTGACCCAGGCTGGATGCGGCAGCCAGTGTGTCCTGATGTCCCACATGTGAGGCAGGGACTCAGACCTCTGTTATCTGCCCTCCCCGGTGCGTTTGCTTCCAGTCCAGCCTGGAAGTGGAGCAGCATGGGGTTGGCATTGCAGAGTCACCACTGGCTGCAATTCCGTTATCCCGGGTGGGTGCCGGTTGGAGTCCTGTCTGCTCTGCCTCTTACCCAGCTCTCAGCTGATGTGCCTGGGAACGGAGCCACAGGTGGCTCCCGGGCCCCTGCACCCGTGAGGGAGAGCAGGTTAAAGCTGTTGACTGCCAGCTTTGGATCGACTCCGTCTGGCCATTGCAGCTGTTGGGGAGTGAACAACTGGTGGAAGAGCGATAGCTCTCTCTCTCTCTCTCTCTCTCTCTCTCTTTCTCTTTCTTTCTTTCTGTCTCCCTCCCTCTCTCTCTCCCTCTCTCCCTCTAACTCTGCCTTTCTAGTAAATTTTTTTTTAAAGGAAGTGGGAAGTGGAGGAGTTAGTACTGAGCTAATCCCAGTTTACATACCGTTTCTCATTGTGATGGAAGAGGCAGGATGAGAAGGCCATACCAGTGAAGGGTCTAGCCTTTTGGTATTCTTTCTTTTTTCTTTTTTTTATTGATTTTCATTGAAAGGGCAGATTGACAGAGAGAGGAGGAGAGACAGATCTTCCATCCACTGCTTCACTCCCCGAGTGGCCATAACAGCTTGAGCTCAGCTGATCCCAAACCAGGAGTCCGGAGCTACTTCTGGGTCTCCCATGTGAGCTCGGACTTGAACCATTCCCCATCAGGCCACAGGCAGGGAGCTGGATTGCAAGTGGAGCAGCCAGGACACAAATTGGTGCCGACGTGAGATGCTGTGCTTGGAGCTGGAGGATCAGCCAGTTGAGCCAACATGCCGGCTCCTAAGTATTCTGTTAAGTGCTTTATTTGTTAACATGAATGCCAGCAACCCACTGAGCGAGCAGGGAGTGTGTATGGCCCTGTGTCCTGGCGTCAGGCCGTGTGCTCCCAAGGTGTTTACTCAGCTGGGTGTTGTACTAGGCCCAGGGCTATCGGATGAATCACAGCCCCTGCCTTCAAGGCATGCGTGCTCTGGAGGACTTTGCTTCCAGCAGTTTCTGTTGACTTGTGAAGCGAGGGGTTGTAGTTCACTGGGAGTACCGTACTGTGCTGTTGGGGCCGAATTAGAAAGCCTGATGTTTGGGGCAGTGGGGGCAGTGTCAGAGCACAGGGCATGTCTGTGAAGTGAATGAAACTGCCTGCATTGAGCTTTTGTCTGTTCAAATCTGCATATTCCTCCCCAGCGTGTTTTCAGTAGCTAGAGATTGTAAGCAGGACGGAATAGGACATTGCGGCCTGTGGCGTGCGGTGGTAGAGCCGGGGAGGCCCCGAGATGGCAGCCCGCTCAGCCCCTGTCGGGACAGAGGAGTGAATGTCCCTGACCACCAGCGCTCTGAGACGGGTCGGGTGCTGATCCTCCCTGGCGGACACCTCCTGCAGGTCCAGCCGGAGGGGAGAGGCTTGGAGTGCTCTGCGGGTGCTTAGCCTCTTGTCTCGGTTCTCACTTGAAATGGAGAAAAGTCCTCGTTTTTTTTCTCAGCAGTGTTGCTTAGGGGAATCACTAGAAGGGCCCCCCGGAGCAGCACCTGGCAGGGGGGTTTGCTCTCCCCTCCCGGTCTTGCTGTGAGCTGTCATTTGGTTGTGATTCTGCAGAACTGCTGGAATGCACACCAGGCCCGTCCAAGTAGTACCAGTACTTCCAGGTTACATGGAGGCAACCACGTTATCTAAAATGAGAAGTACAGTTGGTTGTCTTGATACGGTGCTATTAGAATGTCTTTAGTTAGAAAGCTTGAGTGTTTGGAAAGCAGAGTTGGAGGGAGAGAGAGCCAGGGATACCCTGTCAGTTGGTTCGCTTCCTGAATGGCCGAGGTAGCCAGGACTGGGCCAGGCTAACGCCAGGAATCGGGAGGTACATCCTGGTCTTTTACGTTGGATGGTAAGGGCCCTAGTACTGGCGCCATCTTCCTCTGCCTCCCCAGGAACGCTAGCAGGAAGCTGAGTTGGAAGCAGGGCAGCTGGGACTTGCACCTCCGATGTGGGATGCTGGCATTTGTTATATAAAAACTCAGCCCTGTGTGTGCTGGCGGGGGAGTGGGGAGGACTGGTGATCTTTATGTCCCTCTTAAAGTAGGACAGCGTTTCTCTGTATCACATTGCTTGAATTCTGGAAGGGCAAAGAGGAATGTTATGTAGTTATCAGAGAGGGGGGCGGGGGGAGAAAATTTTTCCTCTGCCCTTCATCACTAGCGGGGATCAAGAAGAGGACAGCTAGCTCATGTTTAAAGGTTTATTTTATTTATTTGAAAAGCAGAGTTACACACAGAGAGAGAAACATGATCTTCCACCTGCTGATTCACTCGCCAGGTGGCCACAATGGCCAGAGCCAAGCCAAAGGAAGCAGGAGGCAAGGGTGTCTTCCGTGTCTCCCCCATAATGGTGGGGTCCAGGGTTAAGGGCCATCTGCTGCTGCTCTTCTGGGTGCGTTAGCGAAGAGCTGCAGCTGGGACTCGAGCCATGTGGGATGTCAGTGTAGCACGTGGCAGCTTAACCCTCTACCCCACAGCGTCAGTCCCCAGAAGTGCGTGGGTTTTTTTTTTTTTTGGCATGTGCACTTAAGTGTACAAGGGTGATAACTCAGGAGGAATGGGTACATCTCGAAAAAGGAAGTTTAGACTCAAACTCCCTCTAAGCGCAACTCCTTTTTGGAGAAATTACAAAGGGAAAAGAACCTTGAGTCCAGGGTGGCACACCGCAGGAAAGCCAATACAGGGCAGGTGAAGGTGAAGTGTGTCCTGTAGATTCTTGCTGTACCGTCTCCAGTCCGGCAAGGGTCCACAGTTGTCTTAGGTGTTCAGCCTTTGTCCTGGCTTGCAGGGAAGGAGAGAGGGAGGGACCATTCCCGAATTCGTATACTCGCTCTGGGTGCACACCAGTGGTGGGGTGAGAGGTTAAGGCAGGGGAGAGCTTTTCTTGTAGTTTCTCAGTTCTCAGTTGCTTTTGGCTCAAAATTGAGGATTAGTATTGTGTTACCCTTTTAAAGGTATTATGCAAAATGTTACAAGTTGCACAAGTAGTGTCTAACAATAAAGGCGGGGCATTTGAAACCAATTTTTTTTTTTTTAAGATTATTTTATTGGAAAGTTAGATATACAGAGAGGAAGATCTTCCGTCCGATGATTCACTCCCCAAGTGAGCGCAACGGTTGATGCTATGCCGATCCGAAGCCAGGATCCAGGAACTTCTTCCGGGTCTCCCTCACGGGTGCAATGTCCCAAAGCTTTGTGCTGTCCTTGACTGCTTTCCCAGGCCACAAGCAGGGAGCTGGATGGGAAGTGGAGCTGCCGGGATTAGAACCGGTGCCCATATGGGATCCTGGCACGTTCAAGGCGAGGACTTTAGCTGCTAGTCCACGCTGCCGGGCCCCAATTTTTTTTTTTTTAAATTTAAAAGGCATTGTTATAGGGGAGAGAGGGAGACAGATCTTCCATCTGTTGGTTCAACAGCTTCTACAGCCAAATCTGGGTCAGTCTGAAACCCAGAGCTGCTTCTGGGTCGCCCACGTGGGTGCAGGACCTCGAGAACTCGGGCTAGCCAGGTGTTCGCTGGGAGCGTGATGGGCCTGGGGGTAGCTGGGACTCGGAGCCCAGCTCACGTGGGATGCTGGCCCCACAGAGGGTGGCTTGACTTGGCTGCACCATAGCGCCACTCCGTTAGCTAAGATTTTATGAGTGCCCATATCTGCAGTTTACTGGAAGCTTCTGTCATTGGTTGGTTATTACAAACAGTGCTTCAGTGGTGCAGGGATTAAATTGCAGCTCGTATTGGTGACATGCAGAGAGCCAGTTTGAGACCCAACTGGTTTACTTCCTAACTGGCTGTCTGCTCATGTACCTGGGAAAGTTCCAGAAGGTGCCACGGCCCCTGACTTCAGGTTCATCCAGACCCGGTCAGTGTGGCTATTTTGGGGAGTGAAGCAGCAGGTAGAAGATGTGGGTCTCTCTGTCACTCTTTAAGTAAATTTAAGAAGTCTTTTTTTTTTTTTTCATGAATGCATCAAGTAGGCTTGCATGACTGTCCCTTCAGTGAATGAACTAATTGAAGCATGGGCATTTTTGCAGTGTGTCTGAGGACTCAGGAATGGTTAGTAAGGTGACCTGCAGAGGAGGCCGCCTCGGCTGTGGGGTTCCAGGGGCGGCTTCAATCTCCAGGTTAGTTCTGGATGCCAGGGCTGTGGCTCAGCCACCCGGCCCTTCCAGATGCCATCCTGGGATTGGCTTCCCTTTCTTCAAGGCATCTGACCCTTGTTTTAGTTCTCTTCACAGCTGCTAGGGTCATTAAAAAAGGGACGTAAATGGATAACTTCTTTTTTTTTTAAGATTTATGTTTTATTGGAAAGGCAGATATACAGAGAGGAGGAAAGACAGAGGAAGATCTTCAGTGTGATGGTTCACTCCCCAAGTGAGCACAACGGCTGGTACTGCACTGATCCAAAGCCAGGATTCAGGAGCTTCCCGTGGGACTTGCCATGCCAGCTGGTTCATCGGTGGGACACACTGTAGCTGGGGCCCAGCCGTGCTTCTGGTCCGCTTCTGAGTGAGTTGGCAGGCACAGCCACTGCAGGGATCCCTGCCCTTGTGGCTGGGTTCGCTGGCTGGCATGGCTGTCCTCACCCAGCGACGGACCGGGTTATGCTGCTCGACACGCAGGCCTTGCGCTGCTGCCCTGCCCTGCAGAGCGCCTGTGGGCATTGTGGACTCTGACCCGCAAGCCTGTTTCCCCGACCCGCAGGTGCCAGCGACGACGCGGTGAGCTGCTCCGTGATGCTGGAGGCCCTGCGGGTCCTGGCAACGTCCGCCGAAGCCTTACGCCACGCTGTCGTGTTTCTTTTTAACGGAGCCGAGGAAAACGTCCTTCAGGTAAGAACTGTCCTGTTTGAAATGCCAGGCTTGATTTTTCTCAGGAGCACGATAATCGCTGATGGTATGCGTTGATGCGCTTTGAGGGCCTGCTGCCATTGGTACACAGAGGAAATACTGCAGGACTCTGAGCACTCCTTAGCCGCTCAAGTGTTGGGAAGAAAGACAGATGGGCTTGGCAGTGCCTCATGCCCCCCGGGGGCACCTTGGTGGTGTGGCTAATCCTCAGGTTTGCCCTGGCTGTGAGGGATGATCTGGGGCAGGCACCCAGCATGAACGGCCAGCCCACTGGGCCTGTGGCCTGGGCCCTTTCTTTTGCACAGCCTTATCACTCAGGAAGCGCTCGTGTGTTCCTCACTAGTGTTGCTCCAAGCTTGTTTGGCACTGTCCTGGTAGTTGGGTGCCGGTCCTCTCAGCCGGCTGCACACAGCCGTTATTGTGTGGAAAGGGACGAGGACGTGTCGGGCACGGCCTTTGTGAGACTGTCACTTCTGTGTCGCTTCAGCAAGCAGCAGCGTTGGCTGTTTAAGCTCGTTTCTTCCGTGTTTGCTTTCCTTCCCGTCAAGGCCAGCCATGGTTTCATCACTCAGCACCCCTGGGCCAGCCTCATCCGTGCCTTCATCAACCTGGAGGCAGCAGGTGTCGGCGGGAAGGAACTTGTGTTCCAGACAGGTACGTGGGGCAGTGGGTTGTGTGTTTAATGTTGTCCTCTTTATGATGAAAGTATCAAGTTGTTATACTTGTGTAGTCTCATTAATGAGCATCCTTTTATTTTTAAAAGAGTGATCTGTTTTACTTAGAGAAAAGGAGGGACGTCAGGACCCCATCCGCTGGTTTGCTCCGCGTGTGGCTGCACTGGCTGGGACTGGTGAGGCTGAGTCTGAGTTAGGAACTCCTTCTGGGTCTGTCCTGTGGGTGCCAGGGGCCTGGGTGCCTGGGCCATTTCAAGACACGTGACCAGGAAGTGAAACAGCTGGGACTCTGACCAGCACTGTCAGCCTGCGTCCCAGCTTGCGCCTTGGCCCCTGTGCCGCAGCGTGTGTCTCTTACCTCTGAATCAAGAGAGTGTAACTTGCTTAAGGTTTCCCACATGGCTGTCCGGCTGCAGGACGTGGGCCGTCTTGCTGTTTTGTTTTCCCAGGCACATTAGCAGGAAACTGGATAAGAAGCAGGATAGCTGATACTCCAGCTGCTTGTCTTCATATGGATGCCGGTGGCACAAGTGGCAGCTTAACACACTGTGCCACAGCCCTGTTCCCGGAGATTTTGTTTTCTTAACTCCCAACCAGATCGTTCTAACTTTTGGATCTATTTCGGATAATCGTGACGAATAATTTTAAAGGACCATCACTTCATGAGCTACAGGGAGAAAATTTATCTTGAGGCAGTTAAGATTATCACTAAATTAAGTTGAATGTCAGAAAACATTAGTAACTTTTAATCAGGCAGGAAAAGTTTTAATTGATAAATACCAGAGTTCCTGACGTCTTTGAGACGATCCCAGGCTCCTGGATGTGAAGTCGCGGTGCAGTGGATGCTGACATGGGAAGCTTGGGACCATGGCCCTCTTCTGTTAGATTCTGGTAGTGCGTTGTGTGCAGGGCTGTGGCATTTGCCAGTGGCTTGTTCAAAGACTCGTTTATTGGGATGGCAGGGTAGCAGAGATTGGGGGATCATTCATGCCCTGGTTTCCTCCCTCCGTGGCCACGATGGTCAGCGCTGGGCCTGTATCCACGTGTCCCATACGAGTGGTTGGGTCCCAAGCCTTTGGGCCGTCTCTGCTGTATCCCGGGCGCATTACCAGGGAACTGGATCAGAGCTGGAGCAGCTGGTACCAATATATGAAGCTATATTAGATGCTACATGTGTTTTTAAAAATGTTTAGTATTGTATTTTGATTTTCTCCAACTTATTTTAAACATTTTCTTTAAAGAATAGTGTACATGTTATGTCAGCTAATGCTGCTTTTAAAAAGGTTTATTTGGGGTCTGGTGCGGTAGCCTAGTGACCAAAGTCCTTGCCTTGCACATGCCAGGATCCCCTGTTAGCACCGGTTCATGTTCTGGCTGTTCTGTTTCCCTTCCAGCTCCCTGCCTGTGGCCTGGGAAAGCAGTCGAGGATGGCCCGAAGCCTTGGGACCCTGCACCCACATGGGAGTCCTGGGACCCAGGAGCTCAACCCTGGTCTCTCCAGCTGGGTGTCAGGGCGCCCGATGCCTGGTCCCTTTGCAGGTGCATTAGCTGGGTGGAGGGGGAGCAGCTCGCACTCCGGCTGGCTCCCTGAAGGCCTGTGCCCAGATGGCAGCCTAAATGCCCCCCGGTGAGGCTTTGAGGGTCGCAAGGTGGCGCAGTCCGAGCAGCCGGCGAGGACAGGCAAGGCGCTGGCCTGTCACAAGATGCTGGCCTGTTTCCTGCGGAGCAGCGGCTGTAACGGGGCACGCGAGAGTCGGTCTCTCTTGCATGTCTGTGTGGATTTTTCCTGTTGGAAGCATGTTATAGATGTTACACATTTATTTTTATTGAAAATGTCCTTTTAAGGAGTTACGAAGAGTAAAGGCGAGAGAGAGAGAAATTCCTTTGGCTGGTTCATTCCTCCCTAGGGCCGCAGCTGGGTGTCAGGGAATTCACCCATATCTTCCATCTAGTGGGTGCCAGGGGCCCAACACTGGGCGCATCTTCTGCTGCTCTTGCCAGGCCGTTGGCAGGAAGCTGGGTCAAAGTGGAGGCGGCCGGGACAGGAACCAGCACCCATGTGAGGGGCAGGGGCCGCAGGTGCCCGTGTGAGGGGCAGGTGCCCGTGTGAGGGGCAGGGGCCGCAGGTGCCCGTGTGCGGGGCTGGCCTCTGCGTGCTGGGTCACGCCGCTGGCTCCCGTTCAGGAAGGCTGAAACACATTTATTTAGGGTTGGTCAGTTCCAGCCCCGGTTAGTTCCTTTATTTATCAAATACTTCCTTTGGCTAGGTCTGTCTAGCCCAGAGTCTGTACTCTTCAAGTTCAAGCGAATGTAGTTGTGGATAAAAATTTTACAGTTGCAGAAACTTCAGCAAGAGCACGTTGTCCGCTGTGTGGAGGGTCTTTGCCGGTGAGACCGCGCTGGGTTTGACTCCAAGAGGGTGGGCTGAGTGTGGGCTGAGTGAGAGCTTATTGTATGGATTAAAAGCCAGCGCTGCCAGAGCGAGTCCCTTGCACGTTTTATGGTTTTCTATCATGTTTAAAGTTGGATGGTTCATTTGTTGCTTCAATCACAAAATGAAAAGCAGACATTAGCAGTAGATAGACAATTTAAATATTTATTCTGAAATAAAATCCTGGGGTAGGTGTGGGTGAATGGGTTAAGGCCTGACCAGGACAGCATCCCACGTCAAGTGGCTGACACGGAGCCCCTGCCCATCCTGGCGAGTGCACAGGCTCGGGGACAGCAGGTGAGAGGCCACATGCTGGGAGACCTGCCACCCTGTGGGAGGCGTGCTGGGCGCCAGCTTCTGCCCCCGGGGTGTCACTGGTGTCAATGGAGCAGACTGGCAGATGATGGAAGAGCTCTTTATCTCGTTATGCCTTCCAAAGAAAAATGAATAATAAGTTTTAAGAGATAAAATTCCATGTTTCCAAAAAAATTTTTTTTTTCTGGAGGAGCATCCTGCAAAAGATTTGGAGACACTGTCGGTATCTTTCCCCTTTCTTGGAATTTGGTTCCCGTTTTCCTGTTTGAGAGCTCACTGTTGGGTTTCAGCTTCACTCCCGAGAACTTTCTGGCACTCCGATCCCTGCCAGGGCTCCGAGGCGTCTCCTGCCCGCTCTTGGTACTGTCTGCCAAAGACTGGCTTTCCCCGGGGACGTGGCTTCCACAGGGTCTCCTTGTTGGCCTCCGAGAGGAAGGAGAAGAGCCCTGCTCCTGTGTGTGGGGTTGTGTGTACGGGCCTTGTGCTGGCAGCTTTGTGACGGGCCCTGTGTGTGCTGCACAGCGCTGGTCCTGTTCTAGAGGGGTGTGCAGTTAGAGCTTTGTGTGCGTTGCAGCTTCTTGTCATGGCAGACATGCTCATTGGGGGAATTTTTGGAGGGGTAAGCATGCAACCTAATTTTTAAGAAGGGCTGGCAAGAAGAACTTGGCTCACCAGCCTGGTGATTTCATGAGCCAGGGAAGGCCTGCTTTAGTCATTTAGTAATTGCGAAGGTCTTAATAAAAATCTAAGTGTAGGGGGGCCAGTGTTGTGGCATAGTCTGTTAAACGGCCCTTCGCAACACGGGCATCCCGTGCTGGAGTGCCCTGTGAGTCCTGCGTGCTCTGCCTCCCGCCCGCCTCCCTGCTGACGGGCATGGGGAGGCAGGAGAGGATGGCCCGAGCACGCCACTCACGTGGCAGGGCCAGGCGCAGTTCCTAGCTCCCGGGTCCTGCCCGGTCCAGCCCTCGGTTGCTGTCACCATTTGGGGACGGAGAAAGTGGATGGAAGGTTGCTTTTTGTATTATTCTGCCTTTCAAATACACGAAAATTAAAAAAAAAATGTTTTCTCAAAAGTCCCATGTTGTAAAATATAAATGGATTGTGCTAGTAGTCCATTTGGAAGGCGTTCGGTTAGCTCCAAACTTGAGCTTCAGACAGACAGCCGGGTCACAGGGTTTTTCTTATGAAGATGACCATTCCCCTGTGAGCCCCACCACGGGGCAACCCGGGCAACAGCTTACACCTTCCTGGAAGCTTTTTCCCTTTCTTTGTGTGTATATTAGTATGTGTGCAAATGCATAGAAAAGGAATCATATTCCTGCTACTTTACAACCTTTTTTAGAATGCATTATTACAGGGCCCAGCGCGGTGGCGCAAGTGGGATGCCTTGCATGCCCGGGATCCCATATGGGCACCGGTTCTAATCCCGGCAGCCCCGCTTCCCTTCCAGCTCCCTGCCTGTGGCCCGGGAAAGCAGTCGAGGACGGCCCAAAGCTTTGGGAACCTGCATCCGCGTGGGAGACCCGGAAGAGGCTCCTGGCTTCGGATTGGCTCAGCTCCAGCCGTTGTGGCTGCCTGGGGAGTGAATCATCGGACGGAAGATCTTCCTCTCTGTCTCTCCTCTCTGTCCAAAAAATCATATCTTTTATTGATGTAATACACCTTTCCCACGTTCTGCCAGTTCTCAAGTCTGTTTTTATGCCCTTAGCATACCATCCATTTTAATACAGCTTTATAATATACCTCTTCTGGTGATATATATATATTTAAAAATTTTATAATGCAGTTTCATAGGCTCAGGGATTTCCTCTCCCCCTCTCTAACTCCTTTCACCCCACTGATTCTCCTATTTTATTACAATAGTATGACCCTTCAAAGCAGTCATTGTCCATCATTCTGTTTAAGTATCCTGATGTTATCGGTATGGGCAGTGGCCGAGTCCAGCCTAGTGTTAGAATGTCCAACAGTTCCATTGGGAGTCCAGCTTTGATTTGGAAGTAGAGATGCATACTGCAGTTTATTTCTCAATTAATTGATAGCTATTTTATATAAAAGCTTTGTTTGTTGTCTCTGAAAGTCTTGCACCTGTATCTGTTGCAGAACACATTAGGGATTAAGAAACTTCCACTGACCCCGGACCCGTCTTCCCCCAAACCTCCCCTGTTTGTATTTGTGATGTGTTAAAAATTCAGTGCTGTGTGTTTTAAAATACGCCCTGGGCTGGTCTGTGATCTGTTGTCGTGTTTTCGCATAGGTCCTGAGAACCCTTGGTTGGTTCAAGCTTACGTTGCAGCAGCGAAACACCCCTTCGCTTCCGTGGTGGCGCAGGAAGTTTTCCAGAGTGGCATTATTCCCTCCGATACTGACTTTCGCATCTACAGGGATTTCGGGAATATTCCAGGTATTCGTCAGTGGTCATAGGCGATGTTCCACCTTAATTTAGCAAAAGCAGGATCTCCTTGTTGAAAGTTTGTGAGTGGGTCCGGTGCAGTGGCCTAAAGGCTGGATTCCTCCCCTTGAACACGCCGGGATCCCATCTGGGCGCTGGTTCTAATCCTGGCAGTTCTGCTTCCCATCCAGCTCCCTGCTTGTGGCCTGGGAAGGCAGTTGAGGACGGCCCAAAGCTTTCGGACCATGCACTTGTGTGGGAGACCTGGAGAAGGTTCCTGGCTCCTGGCTTAAGATTGGCACAGCACTGGCTGTTGTGGTCACTTGGGGAGTCAGTGATTCGATGGAGGAGCTTCCTCTCCTCCTCTCTGTATATCTGACTTTACAATAAAAATAAATCTTAAAAAAAAAAATTGTGAATACATAGTGTTTTCTGGTTTCTCCCACTGAGCTATGTATTCTGACTCGCTGAAACAGAATTCCTCATCTTGTTTTTCAAGATTGATATCTTTAATTGAAAGGCAGAAATGCGGAGCGAACACGTGAGAGCTCCCCGCCGTCTTCTGCTTTGCTTCCCAGGTGGCTGCGGTCGCCAGGACTGGCCAGGCTGAAGGAAGCTGGGATCTGGGTTCTCTGTGAAGGCTGCCTGGCCCAAGCACTGGAACCGTCCTCTGCTGCTTTCTCGGGCACACCACAAGGAGGCTGGGTCGGAAGCAGAGCAGCTCGTCCTGCAGTGCTTCCAGTGCAAGCAGCGACCCGGCCTGCAATACTGGTCCCTAATGTTTGCTTTTCAAATACTCCACGTTAATCTAACTGCTTGCCTGTCTACAGTGGATCATCCCGCCCCCACAGTGTGATGGGCCGGGGAGGACTGTTCGGCACCTTCATTCCCAAAAGGCAGTGGTCGTTCCTCCAGGGAGCCTGCCTATCTGGCTTTGGCAACTTGCGTAGCTCCCTGGTGGTTAAGGCTTGGATTTGGCCTAGGAGGATATGGACGGTCAAGCTTTGGTTACCTCCCAGTCATTTCTGTCCCTGCCCATAGAAAGAGTGATCTCTCTTTGTATAGGCTCTCCCATTACGTATTGAATTGTATGCCACGGTTACAGATTCCGTGCAGACATGGAAGAGAATTTGGACTGTTCATAAGCGAGACCGTAATCACAGCACCGCTTTGACATTTTGGCTTTCGGGAATGTAATCCCTCGAACAGACCTAAAGCGAGGCAGGGTTTTAAAGCAAAATGACTTCCTTTTCGTTTCTTTTCTATTTGTCTTAGGAATAGACTTAGCTTTTATTGAAAACGGATACATTTATCACACCAAGTATGACACGGCGGACAGAATTCTAACAGAGTCCATTCAGAGAGCAGGTTGGTATCCCGGGTTAGCGTTCTGCACATGGTAAGACAAGACATTAGGGATGACCTACAAACCTAATAAAACAAAGACAAAAAGCTCTAACCTGTGCGATGGGGAGAAAAAACCCTCTAAGCTGCAGTATGTGACGGGAATAGGAGGGGTGAGCTGGATCTTTTAGTCTTGCAGTGTAATACGGTAGTTAAGGACGTGGGTGTATTTGTTGTCTGGAGTTGGAGAGCAAGCTGACCCCGGGTTACAGTAAGAATGCCGAGTGATGCGGGTACAGCCATCGTGGACTCTGTAGACTGGGGTGGCGCCTGGGCACAAAGCTGGGCATCCTGCCACAGTGTAGCCAACCATTGACGGTTGGTGAGGACGGGGAGAGGGCTCCGACACAGGTGTTGGGGGAGGGGGCTCCGGGACAGGTGTTGGGGGAGGGGGCTCCGGGACAGGTGTTGGGGGAGGGGGCTCCGGGACAGGTGTTGGGGGAGGGGGCTCCGGGACAGGTGTTGGGGGAGGGGGCTCCGGGACAGGTGTTGGGGGAGGGGGCTCCGGGACAGGTGTTGGGGGAGAATGGGCTGGATAAGTTGAGCGGGCTCTCCAGGGAGGTTTGGCATGGTTAGAGGAAGCATGTCTGATGTTGAGCCTTGTGAGAGAGTCAGCAGGATTTGGCCTGTCCTGGAAAAGCGGAAGTTACAATCAAGGGCCCAGCGTGCGTGGAGTCTGTGTGTCGGGGAGGCTGTTGGTGACTAGTCAGGCTAGGATGGAACTAGTGTTTCCTCAGATAGAGGGAGGTGAGACAGTGTGGAGTACATGGTGGATGACTTTAAACATCAGCATCGCTGCCAGGAGGCCTGAGGGCGCGAGGGTGGGAGAGTGAGGTGGAGACGGAGGTCTAAGTGAGTTCTGGGGAAAAGGCGTTGTCAGGCAGGTGCCAGAGCCAGTGGGAGAGACGTGGTGGGAAGGATGGGGTTATCCTAGGGGAGCAGCGGGGGCAAGGCGCATTGTGGAGCTTTGCGCTCATTGCTTCCTGGCTCGGACAGCCGACGTTTCTTACAGACCTTTGGTAAGTCTGTCTGGCCTGATGACTGCCCTCCCTGGTATCTGCAGCGTCCTTCCTGAGTGTTCTCTCCCCGGCACTGCTGCTTCTGTTGGCAACTGCCCCCCTCGGGGGGCTTTTGCTACCTCGGATCTCTCCCTCAGCCGTTTACCTGTCAGTGTCCCTGGGATGCTCCCCTGGTGTTCAAAACGCCCGAGGGCTCCAGGAGACGTTCCCACAGAGGTCCCCCCGCCCCGGCTCTCCCTGTTCATGCTGAGCTTCCTAGGAAAAGCTTGCTGTGTTGGGAAGTTCATGCGAGGCCCTCATCCCTTGGCTCACCCACTGCGTTACTGGGACCGAGCCTGGCAGTTCACACACCCTAAATAAAAGGAGCTTAGCGAGCAGCCTTGGGGTTTGCCAAGGTGAGGGCGCAGTTGGTGGCAGGGAATGGTTCTAACGAGGGGAGGGACAGAGCCCCCACGTGGACAGGAAGTGGGCCGGCGGGAGCGGAGACACTGAGGAATCTGGGAAGGCCTTAGGAGAGTAAAAAGCTGTTTTGGTTTCCATTACTTCCAACTCATTCTTTATTGAAACAGCAGATAGCTTATTTCTACCTAAATCTATGGTACGTGTAAATCATATGTAGGTGGTTTATTCAGCTTCATTGCCTTTCTCTAATAGGGGACAACATTTTAGCAGTTCTTAAATACCTGGCTACGTCCGAGATGCTGGCTGCTTCCTCGGAGTACCAACATGGGAACATGGTTTTTTTCGACGTGCTTGGCCTGTTCGTCGTTGCCTACCCGTCCCGGGTTGGCTCGATAATAAACTACATGGTGGTAATGGCTGTCGTCTTGTACCTGGGCAGGAAGTTGTTGCAGCCCAAACATAAGAGTAAGTCTTTCCCTCTAAAACTGTAAATATTGGCAGAGTTGCATGATTTGCTGAAAGTTTTGCAGTCAATATGTTTGTATTTTAAATCATAAGTGATGTTAAGAATCAAGCTTGATATATAGTAAGGAATTCCAAAGTCAGTGTAGTTTTAGTAAGATTAGATTGACCTTACACATTCCACAGCAGTACACCACAGGACCTGCTGAAGAGCAGGTTGGTAGATTCACTCTGAGTGGGTCTTCCCATTAGCAAGCCATTTCTACATTGCAGACCAAGAGCACACGGCTCTGAAGTTAGGAGTAAGTTGTTTGGGATGAAATTGATGCTTTCTGCATGAAATGTACTTGAAACATTTGGGAATCTAAATAGTTGTCATTACCAGGGGAGACATGTGGTAGGCAGGGACACAGAGAAGGGTGACGGAGCGGATTGCATGTTTGCATATCTCAGATTGCATCCGCAGGTGGGGCCAGGCCAGACCCACGCAGGGAGACAGGAGCTCGGGTGGGATCTCCCGTGGGTGGGATCTCCCATGGATGGGAGGACTCAGTAACTTGGCCATCATCTGCCACCTCTCAGGATCACACAGCGGCTAGAACTGGAAGGCAAGTGGGGGCGGGAAGCCGGGCACCCTGGTGTGGCATGTTGGCATCTTAGTGGTGCCTTAACCACTCTGCCAAATGCCTGGTTCTTTAGTGCAATTTGCATCATTTGTTCTCGTTAATTTTCCCGTGGTCTGTCTGCATCTTCCCATGTTAGCATGTTGCAGTGAAAATGCAGTGATGAAATTAAGGCTGTCCCACTTCCCTAGCAAGGAGTGCATCTAACTCCTAGAATATCCCCTTCCACAGATTCCCAGCAATGTTACATGGCTCTTACTCCATGATAGGTTTTCTGTTCTAGTGTTTATCAGCCTCAACACTAAAACTACAGATACGCTGAGAAGGCCCGTGTTGTGGCATAGTGGGTAAAGCACCTGGCTGTGATGGTCGGCAACCCATGTGGGCGCTGGTTCACGTCCCAGCCACCGTACTTCCAGTCCGGGTCCCTGCTAACATACATGGGAGAAGCAGCAGATGGCCGAGGTGTCTGGGACCCTGTACCCATGGGGGAGACCTGGCTGAAGCTCTGGACTCCTGACTCCTGGCTGCCTGAACCCTGGGTGTCATGGCTCTACAGGGAGTGAACCAGCAGATGGAAGATCTGTCTCCCTGGCTCTGTAACTGACTTTCAAATAAATCTTAGAAAAGTTAGGATAGTGATTTTGGTGATTTTGTTGTTGCCGCCTTTTCCCTGCTGGCTCTTGTGAAGGTGCTGATGGACTCGTGCTTTCCTTTCATCAGCTGGGAGCTACGCGAAGGACTTCCTGTGCGGCCTGGGCATCACGCTGGTCAGCTGGTTCACCAGCCTCGTGACCGTGCTCATCCTGGCAGTCTTCATCTCGCTCATCGGGCAGTCCCTGTCATGGTACAACCACTTCTACGTCTCCGTTTGTCTCTACGGAACCGCAGCTGTGGCCAAAATCATCTTCATACACACCCTCGCCAAGCGCTTTTACTTCACGGTGAGTGTAGGCGTGAGGGGGTGCAGGGGGCGCCGAGGGGAGAGGAAGCCGGGTTCCCTTCTGTAACGCCGTTTAGGTGTCAGCTATAAACCTGTTGGGTCAAAATAGGATTAGCGAGTAAGGTTATGGGAGAGCAGTCTGCCTCGGGCTGGGGAAGTGCATGACAGGGCCAAGGATTCCTTAATGCCACTGTTTCCACAACAGCCCAGCTGGCCCAGATACACCTGCTTTCTCAGTTTCTCCTGATAGGGACTGGAATGGAGGTGTGAAAGAGAAGTATGGTGGGCTGCTGTCTCCCTTCCCTCCAGTGGGGTGGGTCTGAAGGACCCTTCCCTGCAGGCAGGGCCCAGGGCACAGGGGGCCTTGGAGGCGAGCCAGCTATGGATGGTCACACTCCTCCTGAGCGGGTTATGTCTACAGCACGAGGCTCAGTTTGGCTTGCTCTTCTCCGATGGTAACCAGTGCTGACTGGGGCGCGGCTGGGACGGAAATGCAAAGGAAGGTTCCCATTTCCGTTGACGGGTTTCACTTGTCCGTTACACATGAGGCTGAGGGCACGATGGGAAGTGTTTCTTCGACCTTGACTTTTCAACACATCTTGTGAGGTGCTATGACCTGGCTGACCCAGCCCCTAAGAGCAGCGTCTCCTCCTCTGCGAAGTCGAGGGACTGACATGATGACAGCCACAGTGTGGAATGAAGGGTGGAGGGTACTGTGTGCACGTAGTGCTGGTTCGCCCTCTGGTCCTGGCGAAGGCAAGGAAGGGCACGGTGCTGTGTGGACGATGCGTGCAGGCTGGCCAGACGGAGAACAGGAGGATGGGCTGAGCTAGGTACTTCTGGTCAGTGCGCTGGCCAACACGAAGATGAAAAATAAGACATGCAGGCTGGGGTGGTGTGGGAGTGGGGCCGTGGAGCAGACTGGGCTGGGCTGTGGGGGAGGGATGCTGAATTGTGTGAGAGAATTCTGCTCAGTGTGTAGAATGCGTTACAGTGAGATGGGCGAGGGTACAAATAGAGAAGGGAGTGAAGACAGATTGGACAGGTGTGCTGTGATAAAGTCTGGGCTGTTAATACGGAAGCATTTTGTTGCTTCAGTTTCCGAGGCTGAGTGGCATTCAGTTTCAAATCGAATTGGCAGAATTACTCATTTTAAGCCCCAAGCCTTTTGATCAACACCTTGATTTTTACAGAAGATTTCTTTATCTGAAAGGGTTTCAGAGACACATCTTCCACGTGCTGGTTGCTTTTATGTCAGCACTGGGCCAGGCTGAAACAAGGAGGCAGGGGCTTCATGTGGGTCTCCCAGACACTGGGGCTGCCCTCTGCCACTTTCCCCGGCCGTTACTAGACGGCCAGATCGGAGACGGAGTACCTGGGTTGTGAACCAGCACCCCTGGGGCATGCTGGTGGTGCAGGCAGCAGCTCCACCCCCAACACCACAACACCAGCCAAAGATCAAGACTGCTGAACGTCTGATCTTTCATTGGCCAAAGGAGGTCGTCAGGCGAACGTGATTTAAAAAAAAAAATCACAGAAATCCTTCTGAGCTCTTGAGACGGTGTCCTTCGTAGCAAACATCCAGATACACGTGGAAATGAGAAGTCAGAAGAAGGAGGGACTGGGGCGTGCGTGTTTGCAGGTTGATATGTCTGGACTGTGATGACAACCGCATGCCCGTGTGCGGCTGGTTAAGGGTGTTGAGCCCTGCCTCCTCCTGTGACCACAGGAGAACCGCTGGACTTCAGGTCCCGAAAGAGACAGATGGAACTGTGTAATCCCAGAGCCGCGGGGCCGGGAGATACGGGCAGAGGTGCAGTTCAAGGCCAGATGGGGAGAGAAAATGGAGCTTACTCCAGATAGCTCATGCTGTTCCTCCCGTGGTCCTCTCTGAGTTGCCGTGGAACAGAAAAACTCAGGGGCTCGGGGGGAGTTTGGGGGAGGCCCCTCTCCTGTCCCAGGCAGAAGAGACTCCCAGAGGAAGGAAGTTAGCGCTTCTGCTTTTCCTCCGGCTCACCGACTCGCCTTCGGCTGGGCACTGATGGGCATTGATGATCTCACTGTCCTAGGTGGCTTTGCCAGCGCACGCGTCGTCTGCTTAAAGAGGAGACCCTCCACAGAGCTCTCCTGAGCGGTGAGGCCTGGGTGATGCTCGCTGGTCTCTCGGAGTGATGACTTGGGGATGCAACCACGTGTGTTCATCTTCTTTCTTGCAGAATGCCAGTGCCCAGTATCTGGGAGAAGTCTTTTTCGACATCTCGCTGTTTGTGCATTGCGGCTGCCTGGTAGCACTCACTTACCACGGCCTGTGCTCGGCATTCATCAGCGCCCTCTGGGTGGCCTTCCCGTTGCTCACAAAGCTTTGCGTGCACAAGGACTTGAAGCAGCATGGTAGGACGCTTTTGATCACGATCCAAGTAGAGAAAAATCCCCTACGTGACCTAAGCAGCAGCTTCCAGGCGCTGTTCCCTATGGCTTCCCACACAAATGTTTTTAACGTCTGCAGACCACTCTAGCTTTGTATTTTATATCCCATTCCGTTCTGTGTTTGAACACATACTAATAATGCATCGAATGTTGTATATTTAGGTTTCTTACTTGGATCGTATGCTGTCAGTGACGGTGGCTTGTCACCGTAGCCAACAGTGGGAGGTCAAGCACAGTCGTCTCTCACCTGTTGTGTGGGTGCCCAGGCCCACCAGTGCCGTGAGATTGGCCTGTCCCCGGGAATGTCACCAGCGTGCCTTTTCTTCCTCCCTAGGTGCCCAGGGGAAGTTCGTTGCCCTTTACCTCCTGGGGATGCTCGTCCCTTACCTGTACGCGCTCTACCTGGTCTGGGCCGTGTGTGAGATGTTCACCCCCATCCTCGGGAGGAGCGGATCGGAAATCCCGCCCGACGTCGTGCTGGCGTCCATCCTGGCTGGCTGCACCATGGTCCTCTCTTCTTACTTCGTAAGAAAAAAATGTTGCTGTTTTCTCATGTAAAGGAGTTATGAATTAGTGAGGCCAGTGTGGTGGTGTAGGAGGCTTATCTACCTGCAGCCCTGGCATCCCATATAGATACTGCTTCCCGTCTTGGCTGCTTCACATCTAGCCCAGCTCCCTGCTTGTGGCCTGGGAAAGCAGTGGAGGACGGTCCACGTCCTTGGAACCCTGAATCCATATGGGAGACCCAGAAGAGGCTCCTGGCTTACAGCTTTGGACCAGGCCAGATCTGGCTGTTACGGGCTTTGGGGCAGTGAACCAGCGGATGGATGACCTCTCTCTCTTTGCCCCCTCTCTGTAATTCTGACTTTCAGGTAAAATAAATGAATATAAAATAATTATGAATTTGAGAGAGAGGTTAGTTGACACCTGGTTCACTCCACAAAGGCCCAAGCAGGGTTGCAGGGGCTTGGTGGTCACCTGAGCCTAGCATGCGTGCGGATGGGGAGCTGGCCTTGGCAGTAGAGCTTGGACTCAGACCCAGGCTTGCTGATGCAGGGTGCCCGTGAACTGCCGGGCCCGTCTGCATTCTCACAGGAAAATGTGATGGGTTTAACCAGATGGTTTTGGAGCGAGCATTGTTCAAGTGAAGTGTTGAGTGGCCGCGCGTGTTGATGTTGCAGTTCACCTTGGTAAGAAATGGGGCTTTTGTGTGTGTAGGTGTGTGGCTGCATTTTGAATTTTTCAGGTTTTTGTGCTTTTCCATCCTCTCAAATCCCTTTTCAAATGGTCTTTCCAAGTGCCCGCGGGTGAGTTTGTAGAGTGAGGACCAGATGAGAATGGTCAGATCCTGCTTGGCAGTGCTAGTGGAGCGGGGGCCGTGTTAGAGCGCTCACGGGACCAGCGACCAGCCCTGGGGACACGTCTCTGTCACGTCACTGCCTCGTTGCCTCTGGCTGGTGGGGTGGTGCCACCCTTGCTGTGCCCAAGCATGCCTTCCCGTGCCGGCCAAGGAGAGAGTGTAACGCTGCTGGTCCTCATTTCCTTATTGTCAGCCTACCGCCCTCCTGCCCGGGGCCTCTCGGAGGCGCGAAGAGGTGGAGAAGCCCCTGGGAAGCCAGAGTGTCCGGTGCAAGAGCCTGCCAGGCGCGGTCAGCGTCTCCTTCTGGAAGGCCCTTGGGTGGCCGGTGGTGCGGCCTAGGAGCGACCACGTGCATATACGCAGCCTTGGGGACACTTCCTACCACAGGATCGGGGGCAGCTGGCCATGGCAGCCCTTCTGCATTTACAGGAATGATTGCAGCTTTAAGAGTACAGGCAGGGGTGTTACGGAAATGTTCTCTGTTCCCACAGGACTGACTTCTTTTGGATTTAATGTTGGATTTAATTTTGCTGTTGTGAGGATTAAAGGAGACAATGGCTCATCTGCAGAGTAGGTTTGAATGTAGTCAACTAAGTTATAAACTACCCCCCGCCCACCGCCGTATTGAAATTACAGTCAGTGACAGGACGCTGTGGACGCCCAGAGCGTTGGCCAAACGTGGGATCCGAATTCAGCTCTGCTCATCTCTTCTCCTCTGGCAGGGGGAGCGGTGTCAAGGGCTTAGCGAGAGGCAGACTGTGGGACCTAAACCACAGCGAGTACTTCCGGGAGCTTTTCTTATTCCATAGGGACTGACTGTACGTGTTACGCTTCCATCAAGGGGTCAGTTGCCTCGGTTCCCGGGGGGACTCTGCAGGGCGGACGGGGAGAGCAAAAATGTGCGCTGAGACAAACGGCACACACTGCCCATGGAAGAATTCCTTTTCGGTGTCCTCATTTTTTAAAGACTTTATAAAAAGTTATTTATTTGAAAGGGAGAGGCAGAGCGAGAGAGAGTCTCTCTTGCGGGTTTAGTCTCCTAACGGTTGCCTAATGGTCAGCGGGGTCTCAGACGAGCACGCTGAGCTGGGACCTGATGCAGACCCTGGTGTTGCAGAAAGTGGCTTGGCATCGCTAACCGCGTGGGCAGCACGGTGGCCCAGGGTGGTAAGATCCCGGGGAGCGAGCAGGGGCAGCCTGGGCACCTAGCCACCTTTCTGTCGCCTTCCTTCTGTAGTTAACATTTCAGTGTTTCCAGGGAGGACCCTTGTGAATTGGCAGAAGAGAAAATGTAGGCGTCAAATACGTAAATGCACCTTTCAAAAAAAAAGGATAAATTGCAGTGCAGGATGAAGTTGTAGGGCAGCTGTGGGTAGCAGCTAGCTTGAGGAGGGCAGGTGCAGGGAGCTTTTTGTTTGGGATTTCACTGGAAGAGTTTCTGCCTGAACTGCACCCGCCTTCCGGGGACAGGAAGTCAGTACCTGTAGGCTCTTTGAGGTGGGTCTGAGCGCCACCTGCAGTGTTGGGAATATTGGGAGACGGGGCCGGGGGGCACACAGGCTGGGTGAAGCACTGCTTTGCGAATGTGCTGCCCGGAGACCTAAGGTACCCAAGTGCCTGGAACTCTTTCGGTTGTTTAGGGTTTTTAAATTTTTATTGGAAAGGCAGATTTACAGAGAAAGGGGAGATACGAAGATCTTCCATCTGCTAATTCACTCTCCAAATGACTGCCATGGCCGGAGCTGAGCCGATCCACAGCCAGGAGCTGCTTCTGTGTCCCTCACGTGGTGCAGGGTCCCAGGGCTTTGGGCCGGCTCTGACTGCTTTCCCAGGCCACAGGCAGGGAGCGGGATGGGAAGCGGGGCTGCCGGGACACGAACCGTTGACTGTAGAGGATGCTGGTGCTTGCAGCTGGAGGACTGGCCACTGAACCCTCTTCTTCATATGGTACAAATGTAAGGTCTTTGGCCTGTGGTCACAGTTGTTTTGTTGGAGATTGCCATGAATGGGACAGCGCCACACTAAGGAGTGTGGACACCTTTTACCTTTACATAAGGTAAAATTATAGATATCTGCTTAGTTTTTCATTTTCATCTCAAAAATATTCCCACCTTCATGATCTTTTGTACTTTTTGGTCGCCGAGATGGAGACAGGAGGGGGAGCTGGGTCAGGTACTGTTCCTGCCTCCTGGGGGCACTTCCCGCCCCTAGGGAAGGGGCTTAGGGCTAGTCCTGTGTGTCCTGCCGGGGCCTTCCTGCGGCAGCTGCAGTGCAGGCCGGGGATGGGGCTCTGCGCGGCGGGGAAGCTGCTGCGTGCCATGCTCGGCTTTCGGCTCAGTTCTCCCGACTCCGCCTTCCTGCTGCTGTGAGCCCTGGGGACCTGGGTTCAGCTCCCAGCTCAGGCATGGCCTAAGCGGCTTTGGCTGCTGTGTGGGGAGTGAGCCAGTGGATGGGAGATCTGTCATGTGCCCGTCTGCCTATAAAGGAGATATAGTTTTTAAAAAGCAAAATATGCTCAGGGCATATTCCTAGATGCCAACTTCCAGGCTGAACCTTTTACTCTGAAAGTTCCGATTTCTGTTGATCCCGCTGGCCCTGGCAGTCTCCTGCCTGGTGCGTGTCGCCCTGCCGGGCAGTTTTTCTTCACATGCAATTCCACACGCAAAGTCTTTTTTTTTTTTTTTTAAAGATTTATTTGTTTATTGGAAAGTCAGATACACAGAGAGGAGGAGAGACAGAGAGGAAGATCTTCCATCCGGTGATTCACTCCCCAAGTGAGTGCAACGGCCGATGCTATGCCGATCTGAAGCCAGGAGCCAGGAGCCAGGAGCCTCTTCCGGGTCTCCCACACGGGTGCAGTGTCCCAAAGCTTTGGGCCGTCCTCGACTGCTTTCCCAGGCCACAAGCAGGGAGCTGGATGGGAAGTGGAGCTGCCGGGATTAGAACCGGCGCCTGATGGGATTCCAGTGTTCAAGGCGAGGACTTTAGCCGCTAGGCCACCACGCTGGGTCCCCACAGGCAAAGTCTTGAAGGTGCAGGAAAAGCCTAGTTGAGATGCTTCTAACACTTCAGCACGTCGTCAAGTTGGAGCTCTGTTTAAATAGAAATCCTTAAGCTTCAACCCTGTGATGTCCCCGCAGTGAAATGGCACGCGTTGTATCACAGGGCACCGACAGACACAGAAGTACAAGGTCATGGCTTGGCTGGTGACAGACGCACGTCTTCTGATCTCCTGTGTGGCTGAAACACAGGGAGTCAGGCCCTGACATGCAATGGAAAAAGCCTGGAAGGTGTGCTCTGTGTGCTGCATCATGTTAGCACGTGCTGGTCAGGATCCGAAGAATAAGTCAATCAGGAACGTGTTTTTGATACTGGTATGATTTTGTAACTTGTGCCGTTTTTTTCTTCCCGTCATAGATTAACTTCATCTACCTTGCCAGAAGCACCAGAAACACCATGCTTGCTCTGACCGTGGTGTGCGCCGTGACATTCCTGCTTGTTTGCAGTGGGACCTTCTTCCCGTATTGCTCCGATCCCGCCAGCCCCAAACCAAAGCGAGTGTTCCTGCAGGTGAGCGGGCCCGGGAGGTGGGCCTCTCTCGTCCACCTGCACAGCGGACTCCGCTGCCTTTCCTGCGCTTGGCCTGTCTGGGTGTGCTGAGCATGCGTGTGAGTGCGTGAGAGAGAGCGAGAGAGAATGAGTGAAGATGGTGAGGAAGACTGGTCGTGAAGGGCATCCTTGCCACCTGGGCTGTTCAGAGCTGGACCTGGAAATGCCTCCGTTACTGTTAAAATTAGCAAGCCGAAGTGTGTGGGAAGAGTGTGCCGGGGATAAAGAGCTGTTAGAGATGCCAGGGGGAAAATGCGTACTCAAGACTGTGCTGAGCCGTCGGCTGGCCACTTACACAAAAAACGGCAGCGACACTGATGTTATGTCACATTCAGAGGGACGTGCGATGATGAAAACGGTGCAGCAGAAAGGGCTGTGCGAACCTCGGAGCTTGCCTGCGCGTGCCTGTCCCGGAGCTGGTGCTGGTCATCGCTCCTGGAGGCTGGGCTGGCCAGACACCGACGGCGCGCAAGTTAGGGCTCAGGAGTTACTCATCCACTCCCACTGTTCCTTGTTGACCATCCTCAGGGCTGTTAGGTGGCTTATTTGATGGGACCTGGTTTTCTTTTTAAAGATTTATTATTGGAAAGCCATATTATAGAGAGGAGAGACAGAGAGGAAGATATCTCACACCCCAGGCAGCTACAACAGCCGGAGCTGAGCTGATCCAAAGCCAGGAGCCCGGAGCCTCTTCCAGGTCTCCCACACAGGAGCAGGGTCCCAAGGCTCTGGGTCGTCTTCAACTGCTTTCCCAGGCCATAAGCGGGGAGCTGGCTGGGAAGTGGGGCCACTGGGATTAGAACCAGCACCCGTATGGGATCCTGGCAAGTGCAAGGTAAGGACTTGAGCTGCTAGGCCACCATGGGAACTGGTTTTTTAACTGGTGAAGCGTTCAGTGAACTGAAGTTTTTAGGACAATCTGTTTCCAGTGGCATGTTAATTTTAATAATCCAGTCCATAATATTTAGGAAAAAGCCAGATTTTTAAAGAAATCCCGATGTGACTCTTTTGGGGGCGTTCTGCTTCCACCCTGTGTCTCCTTTCAAGAGCAAGGAAACTGGTTCGGTCTGCGTGCCACAGCTCCGGTTTCCCAGAGCAAAAGGAGCCGTAGAAAAGAGCTCAGCAAATGAAGCCCGCCCGGTCTTAGCTTGGAGGTGGGCAGTGGGCTGGGCCCGTCAGCTGCCATGGCCAGCCCGTGTCCTGTGGGTACTCCTCAGGGGGTTTGGGCTCTGCCGTTATCAAGCTGTCCTAAGTGATGGAGGGTACCTCTCCTTAGAATCCTGCCAGGCACCAGCCTGTCGCTGCTTGGGGATTTTGTCTGCTTAGGAAATTGCTCCATCTAACGCCTGGAAAGGAAGGCTCTGTGTGTGTGTGTGTGTGTGTGTGCGCGCGCGTGTCTGGGGTGCTTCACTTTAAAGGCTCCACTAAACTGTGACTGGAAACTTACATTCTCATAAATGTGTGTTGTAAATGCAATGCAACAGGCACGCACATAGCCCCTTAGCCCTGCAGACCGCAGGCGGCCCCTTGCCCTGGTTCCACGTCCACCTCAGTTTTCGGTCTGGTCACACTGGCTCACTGGGGCGAGTCCAGCCTGGGGATGTGGGTGAGCTGAGTGGGACGGCTGTTTGCTCATCCGTCTTAACCTGCTTACAGCACATGACTAGAACATTTCACGGCCTCGACGGGCAAGTCGTTAAGCAGGACTCAGGAATATGGATCAATGGCTTTGATTACACTGGGATGTCGCATATCACCCCGCACATCCCCGAGATCAACGACACCATCCGGGCTCCCTGTGAGGAGAGCGCGCCCCTCTGCGGCTTCCCGTGGTACCTGCCCGTGCACTTCCTCATCAGGTGGGTTGGCTGCTCTTCTGCCGCGGGGCTGGGTGGGTAGCACCGTGTTCTCTGCCGTCCGAGCACTGTGATGCTGTTTTCTCCCATCACTACAAAACTTGTGTTTCTTTAGCCGGGTAAAGCAGTCGATAGATGATTTTGTTTTGCTAAAATTTGTAAAAAAAAAAAAAAAAAAAAAAAATTATTTTTATTGGAAAGGCAGATTTACAGAAAGAGATACAGACAGAAAGGTCTTCCATCCGTGGGTTCACTCCCCAAATGGCCACAGTGGCTGGAGCTGAGCCAATCTCAATCCAGGAGCCAGGAGCCTCCGGGTCTCCCACGCGGGTGCAGGGTCCCAAGGCTTTGGGCCATCCTCCACTGCTTTCCGGGCCACAGGCAGGGAGCTGGATGGGAAGGTGGAACAGCCGGGACACGTGGGCTCCTGGTGTTGCAGGGTGAGGATTTAGCCACTGAGCCATCATGCCAGGCCCCGTTTTGGTAAAAAACTGAGACTCTTTTTCTCTCGAAAGCTGAGCAGTTAGGGCGATTCTGCCTCCCACCATCTGATACAATATCTAGCAGTTAAAAAATCAGTATCAAGTTGTTTTACCTTGGGAAGGTTTTTAAGGATTTGGCAGTGAAAGATTAGATAAAAATCGGAATGGGTAGTGAAGCGAAGGCCAGCAGGTGCCCTCCAGTTCCTGCGCTGTAGCCGTCGGTGCCACAGTCAGTCACGCGGGTTTCCGAGGCGGCGACGTCAGTGTGAGCTCATAGCCCAGGGACCCCGATCGTGCCCGTGAATTATAGTTACCAACTGATAAGGCCTCCTAAATAGTGAAGCTAACTTTCCAAATAGGAAAAACTGGTACCTTCCCGCCCCCGAAGTTTCTCCGAGAACTCCTGCTCATTTCAGACTTGTATCCAAAGAACAGACACCTTGGGATTCTGTAAAGTTGACTTTTGAAGCAACAGGTGAGTCGTGCGCCGGTCCTCTCCCCTTCTGCCGCGTGCCCGTCATGCCACGTCGCCCTCAGGAGCTCTGTGTTTCAGAGCGCAAGGAGGAAGCTTATTCTGACTTCGTAAAGCAAATGTCTTAGATGATGTTCTTCAGAGCACTTGGGAACAAGCTGACCGCGTGGCCTGGCGGAGGCTCACTTCACTGCCTTCTCTGCTGCCGAGCGCCAGCTGCCCTGGCCGTTGCTCCCCGTCTCCCTGCTCACGCTTGGGCTGTCACTGGCTCGTTTCCTTAGTTCACTAAAGCAGAAGTAAGGCAGTGAAGGCAAAGGAACAGTTACTGATTTTAGATTATCTTTTCTAATATATTCATTCAGCACTAACCAGTTTCACTCTTAAGAATCGCTTACACTCCAGCTCACAAATTTAAGTTGTATCTTCATTTTAAATTTGATAAGACTGAAAATTTCTCCGTTTTCTGGACCCCTTTCTTAAATTTAGAAATGTTTTCTTGCGACCTGCCTGGTGGCTTGCATATTAATTCTCTGCCCGCATGGCCGGCATCCCAAATGGGTGCTGGTTCCTGTTCTGACAACTCCACTTCCTGTCCAGTTTCCTGCTGATGGCCTGGGAAAGCAGGGGAAGATGCCCTCTGATTGATTCCTCAGATGCCCACTTACAGTGGCTGGGGCTAGACTGTGCCAAAGCCAGGAACCTGGGAAATGAGTCCAAGTTGCCATGAGTGACAGGGCTCCCAGCACTTGACCATGCCCGCTGCCTCCAGGGGCTGCGGTGGCCGGGCCCCAGAGCCTGGCGTTGCACCCAGGCGTTCAGGAGGGGGCATGGGCATCGTGATGGTGAGCTAACTACACGCCCAGAGCTTGTTCTGGTCTTTAATATTTCACTGTGACGTGAACCTACGCTCACTGTAAGCTTACCCAGAGTGTGCGTGCTGCTGAGCAGTGCACGTGACTGCGGGTCCTTGTCGCTTTCCTGTCACTGCTGGTGGGCTGTTGGAGCCAACTGTGAGGTGTCCCGGCCTCCTGGGTGCTCTGGCGGGAGGCGTTCACACACAGAGGAAGTGTTACTGTCGTCAGCAGTGTCACCGTATCATCAAACCAATCCGCTCTTTGTCCCTGGTCCTCTCTTTCCCCTGAAGTCTTGCTAGTACAGTTCTCACCTTTTCCTTGGCTGACTTGCCTTTCCCCGTCCACCCGTTTACTCCGTGCAGCACAGTAAGCCTCGTCATGCCTGCAGCCCAGCTGGGCGCCCGCTGCTCGCGGCCACTTCACTCCTGCCCCAGCCCGGCACCACGTGGCGGCTCGCGGGGGCCTCTGCACCCCCAGCGCCGAGACGGACGCTCTGCAGCCTTTGTGGCCGGTGAGGGAGTGAACCAGGAGATGGAAGATCTGTCCCCCGCCCTCTCTGTAACTGTCCTGAAGCCTTTTAAAACCCATAAAAATCTGGGCCCTGTCTTTATGTCGCAGCCTGACAGCTGATCTTAAGACAGGGTGGCCTCTCACCTGCTAGGTCATTCCACACCCAGGAGCCTGAGCCCTCCCTGCGGCCCCCCGCGCACTCCCCAGGCCTGCTAGCAGCCCAGCAGCCGGGCTGCCCTCTGCCCTAGGGACCGGGCACGTGGCCACCCGGGTGGGGTCCCAGCCCGCAGTGCCTGGTCCCACTCTGTCGGTTGCTGGCTGTTGATGTGCAGGGCGTCCTGACACAGCTCAGCACCTGCCACGTTTGTGGCCGCTTTGTTGGTTGCCTCTGTTCCTCTGTTTTTGTCTTGCATTTGTAGACTCATTTTAAATTTAAAAAATTTATATAAGGTGAAGTTCCATATATTTCATTTATAGGTTTAAGTGCACTATAGTTCTTACCCCAGCCTCCCTCCCAGTTCCCTAGTGTTAGGATGTCTTTGAAAGGCACAGTTAGATGGTCGGCCCTTCCTGCCTGCCTTCCTCCCAGATGGCCGGGACAGCCGCCCCAGGGAGGTCCGAGCACGGTACGGATCGGAGAAGGAGCAGGCAGGATTCCGGCCACGCTCCGTGTGGGGTGTCGGCACTGCAGACGGAGGCTGTGTCCACTACTCCACAGTGCCGGTCCCTCTTGTTTTTTTTTTACAGTGGCATACTTGCGGTTTATTTTATAACAACAAGCTTACCCATTCCTCAAAGAATTCAAGTAATAAGTAGAAAACAAACAAAAATCCCCACTGTTCCTCAGGAATATACGCGAAAATAAAGATGTCAGCTGTGCTCATCTGCATTTTTTTATATTCAAGTTACTGGAAACCAGGGAACACAGTGTCTTTTGGTGACTGGCTTATTCACTAAGCCTAATGGTTTTCTGTTGCATCCATTTTGTTGCAAAAGATAGCATTTCATTCTTTTTTATGGCTGAGTAGTAATCCAGCATGCCACAGTTTAAGATTTATTTTATTTTTACTGCAAAGGCAGACATACAGAGGGGGGAGAGAGGAAGATCTTCCGTCCGATGATTCACTCCCCAAGTGAGCGCAACGGCCGGTACTGCGCCGATCCGAAGCCAGGAGCCAGTAATCTCTTCCATTTCTCCCATGCAGGTGCAGGGTCCCAAGGCTTTGGACTGTCCCCCACTGCCCCCCCCCCCCACCCCCTCCAGGCCACAGGCAGGGAGCTGGATGGGAAGTGGTGCTGCCGGGATTAGAACCGGCGCCCATATGGGATCCCAGCAAGTTCAAGGCGAGGACTGTAGCTGCTAGGCTACCGCACCGGGCCCAGCATGCCATATTTTCTTTATCTACTTACCCATTGATGGGCATCTGGATTGATGACACATCCCGGCTCTTATGGACGGAGGTGCTATGAACACAGGGATACAGGTAGCTCTCCTATTGCTAATTTCATTTTCTACTCTCATATTTTTAGCTGAGAACTCTCCGTGCTGTCCTCCCCAATGGTTGTACAGATTCACGTTCCCCCCAAACTTCCATGCTGGCCCTTGCTGTGTTTCTGACTTTGATATGACAACATCCTTCTATCTGGACTGAGAGAAAACCTGTTACTTCATCTCCTGGGTGGAATCTTTTCCATGTGTCTGTTGGTCATTTGAATTTCATCCTTTGAAAAATGCCTGTTCATGCCCAGTGTCCATTTCTCATTTATTTATATTGGAAAGGAAGATTTCACAGAGAGACAAGAAGATCTGTTCACCCCACAAGTGGCTGCAAGGGCTGGAGCTGAGCCGGTCCAAAGCCAGGAGCTTCTTTGTGGTCTCCCACGTGGGTACAGGGTCCCAAGGCTTTGGCCTGTCTTCCACTGCTTGCCCAGGCCACAGGCAGGGAGCTGGATGGGAAGTGGAGCAGCAGGGACATGAACTGGCTCCCATATGGGATGCTGGCACGTACAGAGGATGAGCCAGTTGAGTCATCGCACCAGCTGTTTGCCCATTTCTTAACTGGATTTGTTGCTGCTGTGTTTCTTGACCTCTTTGTAGATGTTGGAGGTTAATCCTGTGTCAGTTGCACAGTAGGCAAATACTGGATGCCATCCTGCTGGCCGCCTGTCTCCTGTGCTTCCTTGCAGTGTGTGAGTTTCCTAGTTTGACTTAATCCCGTTTGTATGCCACTCTGTGCTGCCTGTGTTTCTGGGCCTTTTTGCCAGGAAGGCTTTGCCAGTGTCCTTCAGAGCTTTCCTCTGGTAATTTGGTGGTTTCGGGGTGCCCACTGCAGTCCTCCAAGCATTCTGAGTTGACTTGTGCGTGAGGGGGAGGCGAGGGCTCTGTGGACTTGCGCACCCTGGCGCAGCGCTTCCTGGACCGTTTGTTGAAGACACGGTCCCTTCTCTGGGCACCGGTTGTTTGTTAGCTCATTTATTGAAGAGCTGCTTGTAGATGTGTAAACTAATTAATTTTTTGGTTTCTATTTAGTTTTGTCTACATATCTGTTTTGATTCCAGCTGTCCTGTGGCAGGTCTTACAGTCAGCCTGATGCTGCCTCGGGCTTTGTTTTAGTTAAGCTTACTGCAGCTGTCCATGGTCTCCTCTGTTGCCATCTGTCTCTGTCCGTTGTTTTGCGAGTATTCCTCCTTCTAGTCCACAACCACGGATTCGCCTCTCATAATTTTCACCATAAAGATCTGTAACCTGCTTGGTTATATTGGTGGACTCTGCGCTACACGGGGCCGCTGTTGAGGCACAGTGGGTAAGGCTCAGGAGGCCTGCAGTGTTGGCTGCCAGTTCATGTCCTGGCTGCTCCACTTGTGCTCCAGCTTCCTGTTACTGCACCCGGGAAAGCAGTGGAGGAGGGCACAGGTATCTGGTCCCCTGCCACCCACGTGGGAGACCTGGAAGAAGCTCTGGTTTGCCCTACCCTGTGCCCGGGCGCAGTGACCCGGGGGATGGGCCAGCAGATGGAAGGTTTCTGTCCTCTCTCTCTCTGCCTCCCACGTACATTAGCAGGGGCCTTTACTGAAAGCAGCATGATGCTGGCTTTCCAAATGGCAGCTTAGCCCGCTGTACCACACTGCCTGCCCATGTGTGTTTAGCTGGATATTTAAAAATATTTTGTCTTAAACTGCTTTTTGTGGTTGCCTTAGACTTGAGCTTACAACTACTTTAAGCTCATTTTTAGATCCACTTAAAATAACAATGCTAATTCCCTTTCCGCTTCCCTTGTGTCCTCAGTCATTTGTTTCACTCGTGTGCGTGCGTGTGTGCGTGCATGCGTGTGTGTGTGCGTGTGTGCGTGTGTGTGTGTGTGTGTGTGTGTGTGTGTGTGTTTGGACACAGCACACACACTTGCTGTAATTCGCGGCTGGCTATGTTTGGGTCACCTAATCAAAAACAAAATCCCCTGAAAGTTACTCTCCACTTGTCTTGCAGAACTGCTTATCCTGTCTTGGCTTACTGGAAGTATCGTGGCTTTTCCTCCCCCCGGCTTTAGTGTATCACAGCTTATTTTTACAAGGTTAAGTTTCCTGCTTTCCAGATGGAGCTGCTCAGCTCTGTTAGCTTGGTGCAGTGGTTAAGCCGCCGTGTGGGGTGCTGCACCCCACACCGGAGAGCCCGGTCTCACGTCCTGAGCCTCCCGCACCCATGGGAGGCAGTGACGGCCTCAGATTCCAGGCTCCCGCCACTGGGGCCCAGCTCTGTCTGCTGTGGACCGCAGGGGAAGGAAGACCTCTGCTTCTCAGATAAAGTTTCAAATTTCATTTTGAGTTGTTGTTTCTGATATTTACAGTTGCAGGTAACTGTGCTACTTCTGACCTTGGTAATGTAAGTACTTCATGCTGGGAAGTATGTTCTGTGCTGTGAACACACGGAGTGTGAGGTTCACGTGAGGGCACTTGAGAAAAGTCGTGTAAAGCGGAAGTCAAGGATGCTTAGAATTCTGTAAGCCACGATGCCATTTCCCCAATGCGCATTAGTGTTCTAACCTCATTCCATTCGCCTGCTCGTGTGATTCATTCATCTTGTTCACATCCCCTGTGTCATTGTTGATTTTTTTTACTGAGAGTAGAATACCAGTATGTTTTATTGGGGTGTTGGAATGTCACCCATCTTGTCTAGTTCTGTTTCATAAAACACGTTACATGGTGCAAAGATAGTTTTTAACCGACTAATTTTAAAATGCCCATTTGAATATGTTTTCCTTGAAAAAAAAAATTTCTTTGGCTTATCAGGCTTTTACCAAAACTATTTCAACGTTGTTGAAACACTTAATACCTTTAATTCAATAAAAAGATTGTCAGATTGGTAAGCTATTTTAAAAACTAAATAAACCTAACTCACTCACTTCTGAGTGGGTTTAGATTTATCTAGTTTTTCATGACTGATACTTGGACTAGTCTTATTTGAAAGACATCTTCCATTGTCTGGTTCGCTACCTGGATGGCTGAGCTGGCCAGCTTCTGCTCCTCTCCCAGGTGTGTTAGCTGGAAACTGGGTCAGGAGGGAAGTGTCTGGGACCTGAACCAGGATTCTGGTGCCACAGGCGGCAGCTTTGTCCACCTGCTATGCCCCCACACCGAATGCTGTGAGCAGCCGAGCACCGGGGCGGTGACCTAATTAGGCTTTCTCATTTGGCGTCCCATCCTTCCCCGTTGCGGCTCTCATCACTTTGGGCGTTGAGCCTGTACCACAGGAATGCAGAAGGTATGGAGAGACTTCAGAAAACTTTGTGGGAAGTATAATTAAAACATTTATTTTTAAACAATTTTCAAGTAAAACAAGAGGGAAAGACAGGAAGTAGTAAGGTTATTTTCATGGAAAACGTGTATGAGAAATTATGCATTTTCTTAAAAAATCTGAATTGCATTGCTTTCCTGCAAGCTTTCTGAAGTGCTCAGGCATAACGTGCTACAACAGTCTGAGCCTTGGGTGGCTTGGTTGCTTTTTCAGATAATTCTTACAAGACTAACTCTTCTTCCTTCCTGCTGTCTTTTAGGACCCAGCCACATGTCATTCTACGTGCGCGCTCACAAGGGGTCCACCCTCTCGCAGTGGTCTCTGGGCAATGGCACCCCGGTCACAAGTAAAGGGGGGGACTACTTTGTCTTCTACTCCCACGGACTCCAGGCTTCCGCGTGGCAGTTCTGGATAGAAGTGCAGGTGGGAATTTTCTTGGCCAGGCTCCCAGGTGGCCCTAGCGAGCATCCACGGGTTTTGCTGTTGGCGTGCTAAGAGAGCTGCCCGTTTCTCTCCTGGCAGGGCTCGGCGGACCAGCCTGAAGGCATGGTCACTGTGGCCATCGCCGCCCACTATCTCTCCGGGGAGGACAAGAGATCGCCAGCACTGGACGCCCTGAAGGAGAAGTTTCCAGACTGGGCGTTCCCCTCCGCCTGGGTGTGCACCTACAGTGTCTATGTGTTTTGATCTTGTGACTGAGCGTGGAGCATGTGGCCAGTGGATAATTCCTGTGACACAGTCTCTCCCTGGGTCACGTGGATGTTTGTAACTCAAGTCACTGAATTTTAATGGAGAAATGTTGGAAAAACTTCGGTTAGCACTTTTCAGGGCCCAACACTGCAATGGTTAAGCTGTGGGACATACATGGCCTGCTGACACTTGACACTGCCAGTCCTCTGGCACTTAAACACACGCGGGCATCGCCACTGTCATTCTGTGACCTTCAGGACAGAAGCCCATGACCACTGCAGTAGCCACTCCTCCAGGATCAAGGACATAAACCGAGGCCATCCTTAAGGAGACAGAAGTCCTAGCCAGCCCGCGTGCTGCCTCAGGGGAAGCAGCTCTCGAGGTCTAACTGGGGGGCCCTGGGAAGGGACAGTCCTGCAGATGGGACACTGGGCCACGCAGTGGACTTTAGGCCCCAGCCTGTGCTGAGCCACCTGGCCCCGAGGGGAGCAGGCTGGGGTCACCACAAGTTGACAAGGGGTCCCCGAAACGGACTCTTTCCCTCTGAAATGTGCTCCACTTCCCTAGGGATTCTTGCAGACTTTTTAGGTTCCAAATTATTTTCTGTGCAAGTCCTTAACTTCCTCAGCACTGACCTGCCGCTCTGGTTACCATGGGGTAGAGCAGAGTGGAAGGGGGAAGGTGGGGATTTTATAAGTATTATTTTTTTTTTTCGTGGGAGTCTTCTATTTTACAAGGTTAATCCTTTAGGACGTGATGCCCTGGCTGAATTGGGGCCTTTTGTTCTCAACCGTGCCCAGTGCTTGCGTCGTCACTGACGGGGAAGATGGGCATGCGACACACGCTGATCTGGGCTCTAGCTATGATGTCAGTGGTAAACTGCTGAGCTTTCTGGATAAATTCTATGAAACGACAGGCCAGGAGATAGGTGAGAAAAAAGGCACAGCCAAAAGGGGGAAAACAAAGTTGGCATCTCCTGGGAGTCCAGGCGTTGCAGCGCGCCCTCAGGGCGCCAGGGGCAAGGGCGCAGGGCCGGGATGTGCCCGCTGGAGCCTGGGCTGCGGCAGTCACTGTCTGGTAGACGGGCTGTGCTGTTTCAGGTGTTTCAGGTGTCTGGCTTGTGCTCCTCTCCTGCCGGGTCTTGTTTGTAACCGTTAGCACAGTTGAGGGCTTAGACTCACACTTGTAAGGGAAAGGAAAGAGACCAATGAATTTGCAGACAGGCACACTGCCCCGTGGCTAACATAATCACTAGAAATTAGTACGTAGGAAAGCCACCCCCCATCTCACCTTGAGGACCTTCTGTGAGAGCTGCTGCCTGCGTGGCCTCCTTGGGAAAGGATGCTGGGACTCCTCAGCAGGGGTCACGGCTGTCCTCGGGGGGTACTTTCCTCCTCAGCATTATGGTAGTTTTGATGCTGTATAGTCAGTAACAAGCTGCTAAGCAGTCTCAGGGCTTGTTAATACACTGGCCAGTTGTCTTTAGCGCCCGAAACAGTCAGGTCGTCATAATCAGCATAGCGTTACTGCACCTTTAGGAAGCACACCATCGGAACATCGGAACACCTTCCCCGAGGGTCTTGCCCAGCTCTAACTAATGCATTATTTTCTACAGAGTTAAATACAAGTAGCACAGTACACTTTCAGGGAAAATATGAAGAATTATGATTTAAGTGCTTTTTCCTTCTGTTGAGCTAAGAATGACTGTCGCATGGAGTGCTTCCACAGTTAGCCAGGGTGCCTCCAGCCGTCCCCGCCTCGGGAAGGTGGAGGGAAGCAGACTGTCTGATCCTGGTTTGCTGCCTTGTTGAAGATTTATTGTTGCCTTACAATGTTACTGAAATAAACTTTTTACCATAAATGATTGCTCTCTCTAATGAATTAAGCAGTTAACTTGTAATGCAGAAACATGCCATACCATTTCCTGTCCACAGGGTGGCTAGCATCCCAAACCAGCCAAAGTGACACATGTTCTCTGCCTCCATCACTTTCACTACAAACTGAAGTGGTGGTACCCTTCCAGAGAAGTTTACCATATTTATACATCTTAAAGAACTTCCTTTACAACAGTGACCACCCCCCACAGAGCGTGCCTTGGAGGTGAAGCAGCTCTTCGTGGCGGACTGTAACCACAAGTATTTACGTATCTCTTTGAAACTACCGCCTTCACATTTGATTTTCAAAAATTTAACCTGTAATTTCTGCTCAGTTGCACTCTGCAGTGACGCAGTGGGGCTTACCCCAGAGGTCGTTGATTTAATGCAAAACAGTAAGGTAGTACACTCAGTAATACAGAGTAGAAGCAGGGGAGCGTCTTAACAGACGAGTAAACGCTCTCCAAAAATCCTATGAGAAACCTCAAGCTAATACGGTACTCAGCAAGCCGGCAGCTCCCCTAAAGAGCAAGAAGACACGAGGCGCGGCTGTGTCTCAACTAGTGGCTCCATCTAGCTGGGGAATTTGCCAAGTTCAAAGGGACAGGATGGATCTTGGTTGAAATAAAACGCAGCCTCAAATGTATGGCATTTTCCACCAACTCCTGCAAAGCTACAGCCATTAAGCCCGCCTGGTACTGATCTAAGGACAGCCTATGGAACGTTACACAACAAAGTACAATTAAGCAAATCCAGCGCCCGGCGCCATGGCGCAGTGGTTAAGGTCCTCGCCTTGCACGCCCGGGATCCCATATGGGCACTGGTTCTAATCCCGGCAGCTCCTGCTTCCCATCCAGCTTCCTGCCTGTGGCCCAGGAAAGCAGTCAAGGACGGCCCAAAGCTTTGGGACCCTGCACCCTGTGGGAGACCCGGAAGAGGCTCCTGACTTCCGTGCTCACTTCGGGAGTGAGAAGATCTTCCTCGCTGTCTCTCCACCTTTCCAAAAAAAAATAAAGCTTAAAAAAAAAGGAGTAAACCCAGCGCCTGGCGTGATGGCGCAGTGGTTAAGGCCCTTGCCCGGGATCCCAGATGGGCGCCGGTTCTAATCCTGGCAGCTCCTGCTTCCCATCCAGTTCCCTTCCTGTGTCCGGGAAAGCAGTTGAGCACGGCCCAGGGCTTTGGGACCCTGCACCCGCGTGGGAGACCTGGAAGAGGCTTCTGGCTTTGACCGTTGTGCTCACTTGGGGGGTGGGTGGGGGGGAACATACATCTTAACAGGTCATAGACTCATGACCCGGAGGGATTTTGTGTGGAGGTTAGGACACTTGGGATACCCTTCTCCTGTGTCCTCTGGAAGAGGCTCCTAGGCCTCAGGGAGTGAAGATCTTTCTTCCTCTGTCTCTCCTTTCTCTCTTTCTCTGTCTCTCCTTCTTTCTCTCTTTCTTTGTCTCTCCTTCTTTCTGTCTCTGTCTCGTCTCTCCTTCTGTCTCTCCACCTTTCCAATCAAAATAAAGCTTTAAAAAAAAGAAGCAAATCCAGCACCCGGCATGATGGCGCAGTGGTTAAGGTCCTCGCCTTGCACGCCCGGGATCCCATATGGGCGCCGGTTCTAATCCCGGCAGCTCCAGCTCCCTGCTTGTGGCCCGGGAAAGCAGTTAAATGTTAACATTGCCAACTCTGATTCTCCCATTACATATCTACATAGAATAAGAATTTTAAATCTCTGAATTTCGAGTTGCAACATAAGGAAAATTTAAAAAGGTAAAATTACAAAAAGTGGCTTTCAATACATATTTTTGCTGTTGCCTGATAACAAATAAACAGAAGTTTGTGCAATAATTTTTATTGCCCTTATTAAAAAAAATACAAATTACAGAAGTAGCAACAAATTTAATTACAAGCAAATGTTGACTCTCCCCTTAGATGATTTCTTTTGGTATCAACAAATAATTTACATGAATGCACTAAAATTCAAATAGTTATAGTAATATTTAAGTTCCTTGGTTAAAATTATGGCTTAAAACAATTGATGTGAAGCAAACAACATGGCAAAAATGAGTTTTTCAAAGAATTAAAAGTATCTAATAAATAGAACATGTAAACTTACCAATTTTCTTCCCTTGTGGCCTATTTATTAGTTGAAAGCCAACATTTCACAGAGGAAGGGACTCGCTCACGGCCTCCACCGCAGGAGTCACCCTGTGGGCGCTGCTCGCAGGGTGACCTCAGCGGCAGCATGGTGTGAGCTAGCCAGCTGTGTGCAGCTGTTATTAAATGAGTATCTGCAGCAAACGACAGTGATGCTGGGTCCCTCTGACGGACCGGGGCAGGAGAAGAGAGGTCAGTTTATTTTCTGGCTGGGCTGCCTGGACTCATTCAGGAAACACTGACCTTCCAGCCATTCAGGGAAAGGTGGTTTGAAGCTGACTTAAGTAACGGTAGCACCAGAAGGACCAGGTACCAATAAGACCATATTTGATCCATTAGGAGTTTTATTGTGTGAAATTATTGCACTTCTAATGTAAAAAGTAAATGACAGTCAATTCCCCCAAATCAGTAATTTTGAAGAGTTTGATGAATTATGAACCAAACAATTCAAGATAGTTTCAATTCCCTTCAAAGGAAACGGGCTAAGAACTGAATCCGGGTATTTCCTTTCCAGGGCAGCGAGAGGACCAGGCCTTGTTTCTGAACTGGAATTGCACTGTGAGAAGAGGCTTTTTTTTTTAAACATAGTGGTACGAATTTGGTCCATATCAAATATGTTGTTACAAAAATAAGTTTTTGTAAAAAATAACATTGCATTCCTTGTTCAAATTGCACAGTACAAACAAGCTATCTAAATTAATACTGTTATAAGGTAATTAGATACAGTGGAGGATATGTGACTAGTATGAACCAATTATGAAATATGCAGTTTTCACAACATGAAAACAAATTTGTCATCTACAAATACATAAAATACTTTAAAGTTTACAATGAAGGATGCATTCTTTACAGACTAATTTTTAGTAGCCGTGATAAGGTTCAGCAGTCTATTTACATAAAAGTCCATTTTATTCAATTTACAAAATCAATAAATAGTAAACTATGTTAATTTGCACAAAAATCTGTTCCATTTCATGATCAGTGTGAGCATTTTGTTATGACCAGCTGAGCCAATAAGGAGTCTGTCTTTATGAAGACCGCTCTTTTTGGGAAAGAAAAACAAGCCCTGTTGCTATAATTCTCTAAGTATTTATAGGCATGCGGAATCCAGCATAAAACCTTACAAATTATAATACAAGTGCTAAAAATATGAGTAGTGTCTTTGGATTTATTTACACCAAGAGTATTC